TAACGTTCACCAATCAGAGTTGATTAAAGAAAAGATTCAATACTTGGCCAACTGATCATTGCACAGTGAAGTCTTTGTTCAGTTAATGGAAAAAAATATATATAAATGGGCTAATATATATTATCTGTATAGGCAGGAAGAAGATAGGGAATCAATATTTTAAACAGCTTCTTTACAGTTGACACATGGAACGGTTTTCTCCCTTTCTCAGCAAGTTATTACCAAGAAAAGAGACAGAAGGATAACAAGGCTGCAGCAGCAAAGATTATCAACAGTTCTGACCTATTTTAGATTCAAACATATTAAGACTAAGTTCAACTCTATAAATCTAGGTTCCAGTTAGGCCTACTTGTGTATTGTGGGCATTAATGGGTGGCACGGATTTATAATTGTATCACATTTATGGTATATATTGAGGTGATCGTTAAAGTGATCATAAAATTGTTTTAGGTCCTTTAGCAATAGATATATATATATATCTATACACTTTCAGATCTAAATGCTAAAAATGATATTCCTGTAAACATTAAGTAACGTGACATCTCCTGCTTACAGTACAGAATAAATGTTTCAGTCACATACTGTACTCCATCAACATGGATCGATGCAATGAGGTGGTTTTCCTTAGATAGAAAACTTTGAATCAGTTTGAATGTATGATCTGATGAACTATAAAGTGCCTTGAGATGACATTTCTTGTGAATTGGCGCTATATAAATAAACTGAATTGAATAGAATGATCTGTGTAAAACCAGTAGTGTAAAATTTTTTTTCAAATAGTAGAAAAAAAATACACTGAAACAGTAGCTGTCATTATAGTTATTATCACTAAGTAACACATTCCTATCATTTTTATTTTTTATTTTTGCACAATAACAATACGAAATATGACAACTGTCCATCTCTACTACTGCCTCCAAAATTAAATATAGGTTAAATTATCCCTCTTTGGAGTCTCAACATTAGGAGTAACTGGAAAAGTTATATTTTATGTTAATGCTGCCATTAATGACTTAAAAAAATATATTTAAGATCTTTTTACTTTCAATTATTTTCTTAATGGAACAAATAATGAATGCAACACAATATTTGTAAATTAAATTTAAGGAAGGAGTTTGATTTTATATCTTGATTTTCATATTTGTGTGTTTGACTTAGATGAAGCACTTGAAGAGGAGTCTTTTAAACAGAAAAAAACAATGACATAGTGTTGCTTTTTCTTCCCCTCACCATTCTGGGCTGGTACCCAGTCCAACCTCCCCCTCCCCATCCCTTCATCCCAACATGGGTTCATGCCAGACTGTGAATGAGAGAGGAGGTCCTTAACAGTCTAGTTTGCTCGTTTGATGTGGAGCACTGAGGTTTCTTTGTGTACAAGATAGTCGCATGCAAGCCCTGAAGCGAAAATATTATCCCCATAAATGAGCAAATCATGTATCATCTACATAATGCATACAAGAATCCGAAAAAATGAATCTAACAAACCAGGAAATATAGTGAAAACCACAAGCTGCTGCCTCCGCTCTCCCTGGTGATGAGATTTAGCTGCTGCCTAAGTACCATATTTGGGGAAGAGACTTTTCTGCATAAAGAAGATTAGTGTTAGTTGTTTAAGGGCTTGGGGGCAAAGATTTACCATTATTACCAATCCCAATGAAAAGAGTAAAAGCCCGTCATGCTCTAGTATATAAACGCTTGCCAAGATATTAAAATGTTAATTGAGTCGAGCCACACACCATATGGGAGAGATTAGGACATACCAGGGTCATGCAGAAAATGACCAAGATTAGGTGACCTCTGAGAATGATAGTTGATTGAGTGAGATTAATACAATACAGAGCTCAGATGGAAAAAAAGAGTGATGGCAATGGCCTGACAGCCATGATAGTTATGCAACTAGGCAATTAACAATATTAAAGTAATAAGAATTAAAGAATTTCGGAAAAATGCTAGAAGCGCCTGTGGCAATAGAAGTAGAGCAGGGAGTCCCGAGGCCTAAATTTTAAAAAGCTGTATTATGATGCAATCTTCTAACCCATGGGAGGAACACAAAACTAATGAGAAAGGGGGAAAAAAAGAACGAAACAGAATACTTTAATTTGCTTGCAAACAGCAGCACATTGTTAAGGGATTACATCAGAAATCAAAGGGGATAATTAAAAACAGGAGCAAAAAGATTCACTTAGGGCTAAAAGAGTTTGAAGCAACTTTGCCCAGTAAAAGTGAACTTTGTAGCAGTTTAGGGCCCCTTGAGAGCCTAGGGGCGCTATGTTAAACATAAAAAAAAAAAAGAATTATCACAGCAAATGTTAAATGAGGTGTTAGTCCACTTGGATATGTATATTATCATTATTTGTAAACAATGCTAGCAATTTAATTAAGGTCAATAATTTTAGCTTGTTTTCGTCTGAGTTGGAAAAACATTTCTTGCACACTTCAACTGGGTAAACGCTTTTAATGTTTGGCTGCATGTGAAGGTAACATAGAGAAGTGAGATTATGTTGATTTGGATGTGTGGCCCCAAATAAAACCCTGCTTAGGTCCTCATACAACCTTAGGCTGTCTCTTGGTTTCATTATGATCAACTTTAGGCATTTTATTTGCTGCTTACACTGTTATCGTGTCTTTTGTACAATAAGCTATAAAATGTATTTGCATGAAAAATATATATTTCAAGTTGCATGTAATGTTTTGCTAAGTTTTCAATTTACTGATATTGTCAAAATGATGGCATATGAGAGGGAGGGGAATTAACAAACCAAAGTGGATTTTTAAGCTTGAAATAAAACAAAAGAAAAACAATTGCTTCTTGAAAACAACTGAATCAACATGAGGAAAAGAGATTAGACAATGTGATGTTTATAAGCATAATGTATGAACGTCTCTTTGGAATCACTGTGGGGAAAAATATCTGTATTGAATATTTGAATTTTCAGACCAAACCTACTGCTGGTTATCCAACATTCTCAATCTAGGATGCAAAGACATTCATTTTAATGTGATGCAATCTCTTCCAGTTCCATATTTTTATGACTATAAAATGTAAATTTCTGGTTACTGTTAAAAGTAGCTAGAATCTTTCCCCATCCTCCCTGAAATAAAATTGTACAAACATTTTTATTGGTATTTGACCTTCTTCTCATTTATAAAACAAGCATGATAATAATGCAGCAAAATGTATTTCATTCCCTAGGAAATAATGTAGAGCAAAATACATAGGGCTAATATCCGAGATTATTTTTCAAAAATGACTCTTTTTAACTTACCAATTCTTAGGACCTGCTGAGAAGTGAGCCAAAGCCATCCCATAAAGTAAACCAGTGAAAATACCAGTCCCGTCCTTTTCACCATGGTCATTCCTCCAAATTTGAATTTAACATTGAGATGAAGTTTTTTTTTGTCCTCCTTAATTCATGCTGATAACTTGCCAGTCCTTGTATCCATGGCAAAAAGAAACTGGAATCCATCCCACATCCATCCCTCACACATTGTAAAAACAAAAACAAAACAAATATTTTAAAAACATGTATCTGAGACTTTGGCAGCAGTTGCCACTAATTAAAAGACTCCCAGTTTCCCATTCTAAAATTAGTTATATTCCTGCATTATATGACTTCCCAGAGACATTATCAAAGCTTAATTCTTATGTTTTTCCAGTGCACACTTGAGTTGTAAACTGCAACAGAGGAGGAGGACGATGCACTGTGCTCTCTCTGTCAATTATGCAAGAACAGAAAACCCTTTCTCTCAGCAATTTTCAAAATAAAATGTAAAAATATAACAATATTACTACAAAAAATGAAATTCATGATTCTTACTGAGAATTATTTAATATCACTATTTAATTTTTTTCTAAACATGTAAATGTTCCATTTCTTAATTTTTCTTTTGTTGTCCTGATCTGTATATTGGAATTCAGACAGAGATGTTCTAACCTTGTTTTTATCTCTATTTTTTGGGGTTTATATTGAACTATTTTAAAGCATATTTCTATCATTGCTCAGTTTAATCTCTATATTTGGGCTTTTATTGTGAAATCAAGTCTGCCTGGTTTCTGCTCTTACTGCCTGTGCCTTTGGCTGATTTGACACTGCTGAATACCCCCACCACTACCACCACCACCTCCACCCCACACAGCCGCTCAATTGAGGGCACAGCCAAGCCGTTGATCTCCAAACATGGATACGTCCTGAAGATTAACTTCAAATCTGGCAACATTCGACCTCAACAACATCTTTGCTTTGGTACACCGAGGAATGATTAAATCTTTGCTCCAGTCCTGATGGAAATGCAAATTTAATCCACAAACTGCATGGTGATGCTCCCCATAAGATTAACTATCTCAGACAGCTTAGATGACACCATGTTTAAGTTAAATACAATGTGTTGGTGTGTCTTTATTCATAACAGGGGTGTGACAGAGAAGTTGGGAGCTCATTTGACACTGGTGCCATAAACATTTTAGCCAAAGAAAGCAAATGCCTCATAGATAATTAGGGAGCAATGTGATGATACTGTCATTTGATCAAAATATTGAAATCAAAGTTCATATGAAATTAGTTTTTTTCGTGACTAATAAATAAAAAAGTAAATTGTCATCATATTCCTTTGCAAAATAAAGTGTAAAAATATGTGGCGTTTCCAAATTATTCCAAGCACCTACTTAATAGAATTTAAGGCTATTAAATCATGTGTAGGTCACATTGCATTATATAGTGCCATCTAGTGGTTAAAGTGCTCTGATGAATCCTGGACCCATGCTAATAGTATTTTTTACTCCTTTTTTTTTTTTCTTCAGTGATCATTGGTTAGAATACACTTTTTTCTTTGTCTCTGGTTACTTGTTCAAACAACCATCATAAACCAAAAAAATGTGGGCAATGTATGTAACTTTTAATTAATCTAAACTGTAATTGTGCAGTGCAGAAGAAAAATAAACTTCTCAAGGAAATCACAGAAATGCTCATCTCTTTCATCTTTATTTCAGAAACACACACAGGTATACAATAAATGACAGTATATGTCCTTGTAACATAAATTTAAAAAACTGTCTGAAAGGGTGTATTTGCAGAAGCAATAAGCTTATAATGCCCACCCTCCAAAACCAAGTTACATTGGACTTGAAAAGAAAAAAAATGTTGTGTAAGAACATACAGACTTTAAATATTACGTCACTTTATTTAAGATTTCATCACAAATCTCTGCTGAAAGTTAAAAGTTCTAAAATAAACACCACCAAGTATTGCAGTTACACCAAAAATGAAAACAAAATAAACAAGTAGCATTTTATTTCATGATACTGATACCCTTTTCTGTAACACCTTTAAATGAAACAGAAAGATTGGAACGAGAGTCATTACTACTTTTAGATATTTTCTTGACAATTTGGTCTTATACAGTTGAGACCAGACATTAAAATACACTTTGTAAAGAAATAAAAATGTTTTCATCTTTGTGAAATATTAAATCAATCTAGAAAATGTTATAAGATAACAAAGATAAAAAAAATCAAATGATTGGTTTTATTGTACTGGGTAAATGGAAGAATAATCTATAACTTTTTACACAAGTTTACACATACTAATAAAGTTTATTTGTTTGAATTGCATAATTATCAGATCTATGGAATTCAAACAATAATCTTTATGTATTTGAAATAAAAATGCTTAATTAATTTAATGAATATGCATCATGTAATGTTTATTTTTTATTATGTATTCATTAAAACGATCTAGGAAAAAAAGTAAATGTGAATGTGTTGTGTAATAAAATTGTACATCTTTAAATTTGGGCGAAATATTTATGTGAGTGTATTTAGGCACACCTTTTAAGCGTGTTTTAACAAAGAAACTCAGATGCTTCTTTATTTTTACTCATGACAAACCAAAAGAGAATACAGTTTATGTATGTTTTCAATTCTGGTATATCTGCTAACATTTTTCCACTTGATGTGATGACAAGTGCAAGGCAGCACAACACCTCTGGTTTCTGTTTATCCAAAATCTGTTGCTGTTTTTTCCAATGACTCCACTCCAACTAACTTAATTTCCAACATTTCCATTACTGCTTTTGCAGGAGCTGTCCTTTTGTTTTGCTTTTGGCCCAGCTCAGAAGTAGGTAAAATCAGCAATTATTAAAACATTTGAACATGGAAAGGTTTTAAATTTGCTGGAATGGAGTAGAGCCAGGCTTAGGGAACTCGGTGAAAAAGTGGGATATGGCTTTGATGTCCCCAAAATATAATTTCTGTTGTTTAACCTTTTTTGTTATTGTATTAAATAAGTTCAACTATATTTTTGTTTATATCATAACAGTGAATGAACTGTTTACTTAGAGTATAATAATTTTACAGTTCTATCTACATCAAGCTGGGTCAGAGTTCCTGTTTATCTGTTTATTAAGAATAATGCATTTTACAAACAAACTTTTATAGAGGTTAAACAAACTTTTAATACAAGTAAAGAAGCATCCTTCTAACATATCTTCTGCTGAGTACATTTTTAAGGAAATAGAGGAATCACAACACTTATAAATAATTGTGACCTTTGTTAATATTATTTTTCTATGAAGATAAGATATCACATTCTTTTAATAATTCAATTTAATAATAGCAGTTATATGCCACTGGGTCACACATTCCACTGAATGAACTTGTGTTCTGGGTTGCATACAATGAGTTTCCTGAGATATGAATGTTTCCAGCCTTCTGAGAGCATGCAGACCGGTTCCTCTGGGCTTCACTGCTCATCATGTCATGAGCAGCAGTTTGTAGTGGTATAGGAAGTTCATCTAAAGTTTTGTTCCTCTGAGAATTCCTAGTTGACTTGAGGGGTGAGACGGGGTAATAGCTCGTCATTGTTAGCTTGCCGTCTGAGGCCAAACATCTGCAGGTAAACAACAAGGCTGAGGCCAAAAGGAAAGCTCCAGTCGCCCAACCAATGTATAGGGCATCTCCCACCTCTCTTCTCTCTGTATTAGTCGGCAGTGGGTTATGTAGATCTCTTACGATAACGTAGCCAGTCCATGAAACAGGTACAAACACACAGATGCAGCTCATAAACTGTATTCCCCCAGCAACCATTAGGATTACAGTTTTTGCCCATTTGATACCCTGAAAGCAGGAAGTGCATCTCATCCCAGCCAGAGCGACCAACAGCCCGACTCCTGACAATGCAATAGAACAGCACATCAGACCTCTGCCAGCCTGCAGCTCAGGGGAGATATCAAGCAAGGAGTCATACACCTTACACTGCATCCTGATGTTTGTGTCTCTATGGCAGTTCATCCACAAACCCTCCCAACGGGTCTCCATCTCTGTTTCATTTTCTCCAGTGGAAACTGTGACTTTCCACATAGGCAAGCCAGCCGTTGCAGAGGCACCGATCATCCCCATCAAGCCGATGCACATAGCAGCAATCTCAGACAAACCTTGTATCATTGTTTAGCATCCAAGACTGTTGTGCATGTATTCAAGAAAAAAATTAGCTCAAACTCACCAAAAATCTGCTCTTTATATGTAGCACAGCATTTTAGAGACAAAAATATATATATATGTATCTGTTAGCGATGTCTCTCGTGCAATGAGGATCTTTCCTTCCAGTTTATTTTGGCGTAACAGCCTGTTTGTTGTGGGAAAGATGCTATGCAAACCCCTGATTGGTTTAGAAAGATGTAGGTAAATAGAACGTCTGTATGGTTTGTTTATGAAATACCAGGCAATGGAGGCATACCAAAGCATTAATAATTACTTTCTCAAACACTGACCACAGTAAAAATAAAACAAGTATATCCATAACAAAAAGAAATATTCTAAATATACCTTGTCTTTGTGTGTTAGAAATATTATAGTTTGCTCTATTATGGGAATCCAGCATTGGCTTTGGATGTAAAAAAAAAAAAAAGCAAAAAAGTTGAATAATGGTTTTTTGATCCCTTGATTTAAATGTATACAGTTCATTGAAGATTTTACAGCATCCCCTAACCATGGTTAGAAAATTATACAATTCAATATTAAACAAATTAATATAATGGCTTTTTTATTTTCTCATGCAGCAATAATTCCACCTTATACCACTCTAGAGACTGGTCTCTGCTGGTTGTTATTATCTTTGGAGTTCATAGACAAGAAACTCTTATTGTGTACGGAGAAGTTTTTGGAGTTATAACAGAATATAGGTTAAGGGAACTGTGAATTGGCTAAAGCCCCTGGTTGTGTTGTAAGCCCCAAGTGCTGAGACTGAGTCTGTGTTGGTTCTGTGTCCTAAGCTGTTGTTCTATATGTGCTTCTCTGATCCTTTGTCTACAGGTAGTATCACAAAACTAGGGTCGAAACAATTAATAGTGATTAATTAATTATTGAAATAATTGTCAACTAATTTAGTAATCGATTAATAGTTAATTGGAGTATAGAGACTTTAAAAAATTAATTTAGCGGACAGAACGACCCACCCTAAGCAATAATTATACCAAAATTGTAAAAAAAAAAAAAAACACAAAAAAACATGTAAAAATTTTGCATTTAAGCTAAAAAAAATCTTTTTCGTCTGACAATATGCTCTATCCAGCTAATTTTAAAAGTTTTTGTTTCACCTGTTAATTTCGTAAAACCTCTTCTTTAAGGAACCTTTTGCTATCTGATTATTAATCGATTAATCAAAAAAATAATCGACAGTTTAATCTATTTGGAAAATAATCGTTAGTTGCAGCCCTGATCACAACCATGCATCTACCATCAAATAAGAAACCACCTTTGATTCAGCCAGTTCATTGAGCTTCTCCAAATGTCGAAATATTGCAAAATGCAAAACAAAGCAACAGTCTCCTAGCTTGATTATTGTTCCTAATACATGATAAACTCGGCATACTAACCACATTAATCAGCAGACCAAATCCACCGAGAGCCACAGCATGGAAGATCAAACCTCCTACAGCTCTGAAACATGGAGGCTGAAGGTCATGATTCATTTTTTTGTTTAATTTGCTTATTTATTTTTTTTCAGTTAGAGTTTTACTCAAAGAGACGAGTGAAGTCTCTTTAATCTATAATCTTTCTATGTGAGTGATTGCTGTAGAGTTAACGACAAAATGCCAGTGAATATTTTCAACACGGCTCTTTAAGAAGTGTCTCCTGGAAATCATTGACTCACGGCATTCAACTGTTTTTCCTTGGATAGAAACTTTTTTTTTTTTACCAATCTGACTGTATGATCTGTAAAGGGCCTTGAGATGACGTGTTGTAAACTGATGAAATATAAAAAAAACAGAATTTCATTGAATAATCTACCAAGTCATGTTGAAAATTAATTTTTATCATTCTTAGTTGGTTGCATAAGTAGTCAACAAAAGTAGCGAAATATACATTTTTTGGTATTTTAGACACAAAGTAGTCTCATAATTTGTGTCATTTATTTTACATTGTTGCTTGGTTGTGTATTAATGTGTGTAGCCATTTGTCACCATTACCTTTTAATTAAATTTTTGGACCGCATGTTAATCTGTACAAAAAAAGAGAAGCATTTGGATGTCAGGGGTTCCTTTTAATAAACATTACCATTAGACATTTTACAAGAACAAAATAATTGTTAGTCAATTATAATCTATGTATTAATCCTGAAACATATAGAGACATAAAAACGAAATATATATTTACATATTATGTACAATAATATGTATTGATGAGTATATATTAAATGTGTTATAAAATAAAGTAATAAGTATAAATCAAACATTTTAAAGTACAAATTCACCACACATAAATAGGCAAAATAAATCAATAGCAAAATTTTGAAGAATGTGATAAGAAAAGGAAAATATATTAGATTTATGTTCCCAGGAGGAGATTCAATGTATTAAAGAAATAAACCTCTATCAGAATAAGGCAATCTTAACTGGTTTGTAGTTCAGGAAAAAAAAAAAAAAACAACAACAAAAAAATCTTATTAAAGTTTACTTTATATATTCCGTAAAAGTTTAAAAAACAATCCACTGGACTTTGTTTCCAAGGTTTGAAGACGTTTCACTTCCCCTCCAGGAAGCTTTCTCAATTCAAATTTACTTTATATGTAGACTCCATTGTGGCTTAGGCTGCGAGACTCTGGGTTAACCATGGATTGCTTGTAGCTTATAAAAACAGGAGTCTGTGGAATGGGATGAAAGCTTGATTGGAAGGATGAGGTTGCATTCCCGGTATACGTTGGTGAGTACGGAGTTGGGTTTTGGGTCATGTATAACGAGTTTCCTGAGGTGTAAATGCTGCTGGGGTGGTAAGAGCTTGGCATTGAAGACTGATGAGCCAGGCTTCCTTGATACAGCAGTGATGCATTTTCAAATGGACCAGGAGTGTAGAGAATAGCTGGGTTCATCGGGGATCCATTGCTTGTCATTACTTGGAAATTTTGAAGTGGTACTGGACCGTTGCCCTGGGGGGAATTCCGATACGGGTTCGACTGAATGCTTGGAGCACTTGAAACAGGCCGATATCTTGTCATTGCTTGTCTGTTTGCTTCTGGCTTGTAATTCAGCAATTTCATTGGGGAGTATACATCAAATGAGCCTTTTTCTGAGGGAATTCGTCTGCATATGAACAACAAGGACGATGCAAAAAGAACCGCTCCCGTCACCCAACCGATGTAAAGAGCTTCTCCCAACTCTCTCCTCTGGGCATCAATCAGCAGCGGATTGTAAAAATCTTGAATGATGACATGACCAGTCCAAGACACCGGTATGAAAACACAAATGCAGGCCATGAACTGCATTGCTCCAGCAATCATTAAAATGATTGTTTTAGCCCATCTGTTACCTTGAAGGCAGTTGCTGCATTTCATTCCTGCTAGAGCTATGAGGAGGCCTAACCCTGACAAGGCAACAGAGCAGCACATCAGGCCTCTGGCAGCCTGCAGATCGGGGGGCAGATACAACAAGGAGTCGTACACCTTACACTGCATCCTGATGTTTGCCTGTCTGTAGCAGTTCATCCATAAGCCCTCCCAGCGTGTCTCCATCACAACGATGTTTTCTCCTATGAAAGCAGTCACTTTCCACATTGGCAGACCTGTGGTAGCTGAGGCTCCGATCAGCCCAACCAGGCCGACGCACATTGCAGCGATATCAGAAACACCTTTAATCATTGTAAGTCCAAAACGAGATGATCTCCCAGGCAAAAACAGAACAAAAAATTCTCAATCTTTAGCGGAACATTAAAGAAACTGAGTTGAAGGTGAAGGTATGTCCAGGCAGAGAGGATCTTTCCTAACTGCTTACTGTAAGAAGCTGCTTGTTATGGGAAAATTTCATTGCTTTCACATGATTGGCTCAGAGAGATGCAGGTATAGACGATGTGTGCTTATTTAGTATTTACAGTTGAGCTATTTATGGGGGCATAACCCTAAACATTAGCTCCTCCAGCAGTAGAAACCAAAACACATCAATGAAAAAGAAAAAAATACAAGCCCAACTTTTAAAAATATCTGGTTTTTATTTGTTTGTGATTATATATTGTATAAGGCAAACAGAGATCAGTGTCCAGTAAAATGAAAAACTCTGACAGTTTTCTGTTTTGTCCACAGGGGAGCAGAGAAGAGCTTTGAGGTAATGAAATAAAAGGTTTGCATGACATCACACAGCATTTCATTTCTTCCACATCAAACCAGTGATTCATGATTACATTTGAAAAAAATAAAAACCATAGTTGTTTAAAAAAACTAAAATCATCATTCAAAGATCATCAAAAATGTAATGCTGAAGTTTAAAGTTGCTTTAATTTCTTGTAATGTTATAGTTGAAATGTAGTGACCTTTAAGCTGTACTTTATGCCCTTCACAGAAAGTTTTTCCTGCTATTCATATGAAACAAGAATCATCACAACAGCTATCAAGGATGTTTTGGTCTAAATTCAAAGTAGCTGGCAAATTCTGATCACATGAACTTTTTGTTAGTTTACCAGGTTGAGTTACCTTTGCGTCCACGCCCTTAGGGAGCAGCGCTACCTGAGAGTCTATTGTTTGTTCAGCCATTTTATCCTTTCCAATTGTTTTCTTTTATGCAATACAAAATGCCTAACTTTTACAAATATCAGGATTAATTAAACCAAAATAGTTTGAAATGGTTTTAATCATAGCTACATGATTCAGTTCAATACAGTAAGCCCTGTTTTTTCCTGTTTTACGGTCCTCATTTGTGACATACAAGCAATTGTTTTCCCTGATATATAATACTGGATGAAACCGGTACAAATGTTATAGAAAAAAGGTAATGCCTTTTTGAAGCATCTGATTCTAGTCTTTTGGCTGCTAAAAAAACCCAATTTGAATTGTCTTTCTCATCTAAACTTACATATGTCAAATGCCAACTATGATGCATATCTTACCATTAAACAGACATTTCTTATGGTGAAGGTGTACATAACATGTATATTCACAATATTTACTCCATTTTGACTGTCCAAATATCCATAAGCATTAGCAGTTAATCATAAAATACAAAAAAAGATGTTGAACGTTTAACTACGATAAGTTTTTAATCATAGATTGATGTCAAATTACTTTCCTATATTTATGTATGTGTACAGCAAAAACATAAGAACAGTTCACATACTACATTAAAGTTGTTTTTAACTGATTGTGCTATTAAAGAAATGTGTATATATTTTAAATTAAATGTGTTAACCTTAAAAAAAAACATTCCAGTCACGCTGATAGAAAACTGTCTTGTAAGGGCTATTTATTCCTAATTAAAGTGTTCAAAGATAAGCAACCCCACTGCGCACAGAGGGGTATCTGGATTGGTAACTGTAGATAGTCGATGGCTGCCTTGACAGCATTGGCTGAGGTTCTGGTCGAGGGATAAAAACCAGCTGCTGAGGCTGTAGAGGAGGCCGAGGCTGCAGTGGCGGCAGTGGCTGAGGGGTGTAGGCCGTATAGTCTGAGTTTTTCGAGTATATGTACCTCTCTGGTCTGTCATCTTCAGACTGTATATTGCAACAGGTAAACATGCATCCTCCAGCAAATAAGAAAGCAGCTGACACCCAGCCAATATAGAGAGCCTCTCCAAGCTCCCTGCGCTGGGCATCAATCAGCAGAGGGTTGTAGAAGTCCCTGATGATGACGTGGCCTGTCCAGGACACAGGGATAAGGACACAGATGCAAGCCATTATGATCATACTTCCTGCAATGATGAGGACCAGTCTCTTGGCTCGATCGTTGTTTCTGATACATGATGTGCACTGCAACCCAATCAAACTGATCAGCAAACCAAGGCCTCCCAGAGCCAAAGAGCAGCACATTAACCCTCTTGCAGCTTGCAAGTCAGGGGAAAGAGCCAGCAGAGAGTCGTAGACCTTACACTGCATCCGTATGTCAGCTTGTCTGAAGCAGTTCATCCACAAGCCTTCGTAGCGAGTCTCAAACACTATAATATTCTCCCCAATGAAGGCTGTGACCCGCCACATTGGCATTCCAGTGCTTGCAGCTGCCCCAATTAAACCAATCAGAGTCAGTAAAAGTCCCACAATCTCCAGCGCAGAGTTGGCCATCCTGTCCTCAGTCGCTCATCCAGGCTCACAGGTGGAAGAGCAGGACAACAATATTTGGTTATAGATCAAGGCAGTCGGTTTTCCCTATTAGGTGGCTTTTCATCCGCATGGAGGAGGAGCAGGTGGCTGTTCCCTTGACCAACCTCTTCCCTGTGGATGGTACGATATAATGGGAAGGGGTGGGAGTTTGTGGCTGTACCTAGGAGACCAATTCCTTAGTGTGTATTTTACCTCTGCTCACAAATCCCAAGAGCTTCTGTACGCTGCTGCTTTGTTTATTCAGATGGATCCTTTTACGTCCTCAGATATCACGTTACAGGGAACCATTAAAGGGGAAATATTTTGCCATGAGACAATAGTTTGAAAAAAGAATATATATGAAAATTTCACCTGCTGATTTGAAGAGGTTTGATATGTCAACATTATTTCCAAATGAATAAAATAATGAAAAAATAAAGTTAAAAAGGGAAATTGAATCTGAATCTGAAAATTTATAATTTCTTTCTAAATCCCAGATCAAAGGATTCTGCAAATGTTTCTGAAGGACTGTGGTAGTTTTTTTTTTTTTTTTATCTGATTGGCAATTTTGTGTCTTGCAGCTTTTGGAGCACCGACCCCAGCCATTCTGCATCCTCAAAAAACTTTTTTTTTTTTTTGCTTTTTTATTGTCATTGCACTATCACAAGTACAGAGCAACAGAATGAATACTCTGCATTTAACCTATTTCCTTGGGGAGCAGTGGGCTGCCATTGTGTGACGCCAGGGAAGCAGTGTGGGGTTAAGGGTCTTTGCTCAAGGACCCAGAGTGGGAGTCTGTGAGAGTGGGGCTCGAACTCAAAATGTCAGGATTCCAAGCTCTATGCCCTAACCACCACGCCACCACTCTCCTTAAAGGTTAACTCAAAACAGGAAGCAAAACTTGAAAAACTTCCTCTACACCTTTTAACTGGTCTATTAAGCCATTTTCTCAAGTCTGTGGTTATACTCTTATTTACCTACCTTGTTGTAAAAACACCAAATTTCTACTAAACATTAAAATAATTATTCAAACATCCAGCTCCTTTAGCAATGACCTTACTTACTAAGGGTGTCAAAACTTTTGGACATCTGGAAAGACCGCAGTCTATCCCGTAATACTGTAACATGACATTTATATGATTAAAAAAAAAAAGTTTGTTGCACAATTTCAATGATCAACTTATTGAAAATTGTATCAAGTTGCTTCTAAGTTTGCTTTATTAAGTTGCTGGCTATTACACATGAGTTTTGTTTCTTTTAACTAATTAATTTAAAAAACAGTTATTTTGTGGCATTTATGGATATACACCTGCAATAAATTGAGATAGTTTGCATTGTTACTCAATTAATAGACTATTTTATACTGCTTTTAAAAAAGCTTACAGTCCAAAGTTCTATTTAAATCTGTTTCTTTTTTTTTGCTTTAATTTCAGAGAAAACTTTAGCAAGATTAACTTCACAGTTTTATTTATCAAATGAAATTGTGACATTAAAATTGGTCCTTTTTGTTTACAATTGTTGTACGGGACTTTATGTAGCCAAAACAGGCTTTTCGGTGGCAATAAGAAACAAAAAAAAGATTAAAAACGTAAGAGCTGTTGTAGACAAAAATAAACAGGTTTAGAAATTTTTCTTAACTTATAAGTAGTGTTTTTTGATTAATAGAATTAATAAGTGTCTTTGTTTCTTATTGGTATTTATATGTTTTGTTTTTTGATCCTTCTGTAAGTCTATGGAAAAAAGAAAAAAAACTGGAAGTTGCACTATATACATGGTTTAGAAAATCTTTTTTTAGATGGATGTTCTCAAACAAGCTGGTTTTGCTGGTTAGGACACATTTCTTCAAGGCAATGATTAAGCAACATAACTTTCCGTGTGGACACACCCGTAGGTAAAACAAAAGGAGTTTCAGCAGGAATATCTGGATTTCCAGACAAACATTTTTGTTCTTTCTTTAGAATCAAGTTATTATCAGGAAGCAAAACTAAAGAAAACTTACATGTTTCTCACTCTTTTTTATTGAACATAAAAATATTCATATGATGGTCTTATTTTGAAAATAAAAGGTATATACATAAAATCTTAACAGTATACAGAGAACACCTGAAGGTGTAGAGAATGTCTAGTGCACATTTTAACTAAAAAGACCATCTATAGAGTTTGTAAGGCATAAACATTACCGCATTGGTCAATAGCCACAATACAACAGGATCTTAAGCAATTTAAGTACACTTCCATATGATAACAAATCAATCACTTATTTAATGAAATTGAGTCTCAGAAGTACACTTGCCTCCCTTTTTTTAAACTGAATGCATCTTTTTAAATTATGCCATTTCTTCTCACTCAGTTGTCCTCATTCTTTGAACCACGTTTTATATTCTGGTTTAAAAAGCAAGTCCAAATATTTCCTAGTACTGAGTCGGAGTATATGCCACAGATCCTGTTGGAGGTGCAGAGTACTGGGGTTGGTAGCTGTATGCAGGCTGGTATGTGTACGGCTGGTATGTGTAGGCAGGTTGGTAGATACTTCCATTAGGATTGTAAATGACCCTCTCCTCTTCTATATTGGTGCGCGGAGCATGGCGACACAGCAGAATGACTCCAGCTGCGAAAAGCAAGGCAGACGTCACCCAGCCGATGTAGAGGGCCTCTCCGAGTTCTCTTCGCTGGGCGTCAATCAGCAGTGGGTTGTAGAAGTCCATGATGATGACATGGCCAGTCCAGGAGACTGGGATCAGGGTAGTAACACAGCCCATGAGGAAGAGACATCCTCCAACCACAAGGACGATGTGCTTTGTGCGAGCACGATGGTCCACCATCTTAGTGCATTTCATTCCCACCGCTGAAACAACCAGGGCGAAGGTTGTCAGCGCGACAGAGCTGCACATCAGACCTCTGGCTGCCTGGAGATCTGGTGGCAGGAACAGCAGGGAATCGTACACCTTGCATTGCATTCTGATGTTGGCTTGTCTGAAGCAGTTCATCCACAAACCTTCCCAACGGGTTTCCATCACAATGATGTTTTCCTCAATGAAGGCTGTTACCTTCCACATGGGCAAGCCAGTCACCGCTGCTACTCCGATCAGTCCAATAAAACCAATGACGAGAGCAATAATCTCACAGCAGATTTCATTTCGCTTTTTCCTCTTCTCAGCTTTCATTTTTTCCTCATAAACAGAGTCTTGGTAGTCTTGGTAATCTGTGTAGGCCTGGGGTGGCTTCTGCAAGTTCTCGTCATAGTAGGATGGAGCATAGGACATTGGTGGCTTAGTATAGCCACTGTAGGCTGTGTAAGACGCCATCACATGTAACACCAAAGGCCAAAGATGTGCTGTGTGGCTGCACCCTTACGGCTCTGGAGGAAGGTCTGAAGAAGAGGGCGAGCAACAGGACATATACTCCCAAAAAAAACATGCAAATGATGCAATGCAGCCTAACTGGTTGATCTACTTGAAGTCATCAGATAGATGCTGACAAAGAAATGCTCCTTGATTGATTGATTGCAAATGAAACTGCACTGACTTTCAATCCGTTGTGAAAACAAACATAATCCTCTTATTTTTGATGATTTAACAAATAAAGTTAAATCTGGTCAATTTCTGTAGTTTAAAGATCAGGAAAGATCAGGACAAAATATATTATAATTTAGACATTAAAAAGGTTAAAATATACATCGTAAATGGGTCATGAATTGGATTCCCTTAATGTAACAATGATCATAATCACATCTGGAATGACATCAATTTGTCAAAACTTGATAAAAAAAAAAACATTATTTGTATAAATAGTTTTATTAAGATGGCTCTTATAGTTTTTTACATCCAGTCATTCATTTTTTCAACAAACTGAAAGCCGACCACAGATGCCAGAACCTCTGAATTTCTTATGCAAGGTGAGCTGATGAGGTGTTGATTGCAGAGAAACAAGAGGAGGATTGGTTTCACTTGCCAGAAGTTCTCACCTTTTACATATACTTATGTTTGATTTGTCTGTAATGTTAGGTTTAACCTTAGCCATGTAGAGGCAAAACAACTACTTGAGACACACTTATATTATATATATCATTTTATTTTTTTAGGTATCCCAAAAGTTCCAATAAATCATTGTGTTCAGAGAATCCAAAAAATGCCTGCAGTACAACATCTAAGCAGTTGTATTTAGCTAAAACCACTGGTTGCAGTTTCAAAGTAAGCATGACCGGTTTAACAGCTGCTGTGAGGTTGAATGAGTCCCCAGAGATCAAAGTGATTTAAGGTACTGAGATACTTTGGAATATGTAACAGTAAATGCAGGGTTTACAGCCTCAGTAAGCTATTATTTATTAAGTAAACTTAACATTTATTTACTCATGTCATCTCAAATGTTCAGGCGGTCGCATTTTCTATTTTCTTGTATTCTGTTTTTAGCTGTAGCTTTGCACAAATTCAGTCTTCCTAGAATGAGTTTTTTAAACTAGGTTTGAGAAATCTGGAATTTTGATTGTCAATAGAATGAGTGTTGCTCTGAATGTCTTAGATTTATTATTTGTACTAAAAAATATAATTCTATGAATATCTGGAATGCAGTTTAGTATTGTTCAGCCATTTATGCATGTCAGCTGAGGCGGTTTTCATAAAATTAATTATTGACAGCATGCATATTAACATGCAAACTCAACGTAGAAAGGCCAGGAATCAAAACCAGGGTCTTCTTGCTGTAAGATTTTCCAAACATTTGGTTAATCTTTAATGATTTTTACCACATTTTTGGATCATTTTGCAACCATCAATTGAAGGTATTAAAACCATAAATAGATTAAGCAACTGGTTGTGTCTGTGCTCTCCTCCAGTGTTTTGCTAGCATTCCATTTGCATCCTGTGTTATCCTACAGATTTATTTCAGCATTTGTGAAATATATAATGACATATACAATGACCTATAGATATCAACATTTTACAACTCAGATGCTTACATTGCTTAAAGTTCTGGTAAAAAGCACTCTCGTTTGCAAAAGAGGCAATTTTTAGTTATTTTCTTGACTTCTAATGATTTTCCTTTTTTTTCTATTAAAACTCTTTGGTGCTTGATGGTTTATGTGTCACAGTTATTATGTTCACATTTAAAGTGGTTGTAAACTTCGCATCCATGTGAAGCTGACTTTAGCCGGTGACTCAGCATGTCAGGGAGCTAAGGTGAACTGGGGGATGGTTAAAATTGGATCTGCTGAAAACTCTTTTTCTCATGTCCAGTTCACGATTTCTCTGAGGGTGTAATGCCACCAAAACAACTCAGAGGTCACCTGGAGAAAACACACACATACCTTACTTGTGAGATATTTCTTTATTATAAAGAGGAATGTATAGTTATAATATACAGATAATAAATATGTTGTGTTTCGGAAGTTAATGTCTATTCTCTGAATTTTCCCGATTAAATGTGTATGTAAACAAGTATACAAACGCTTGACTGCTTCCATTTGTGCCTGTGAGTTTGTGTGCAGTTGACCAAAGCAATATTACTTCGTCCTTATTTAATTAAATTCATTTGGTAAGCTAATGGTACTATCTAGATTGTTGAAATTTAGATAAAACAGGCGTATTACTTAAATAAATACAAAGTTAGTGTTAAAAATTAAGTAAATAAACTCAAATCTTAGTAAGATACACCACAGCATCAAATTTTAAACAAAGCATATAAGAAAACATATATATATTTTTTCCCCTTATTATATTAGATCTTCTGGGGATAAAGCATAAAACAATAATTTTCAGTAGAAATTTCGGCACTCTGACTTACAGCTTTTTTTTGTTAATGTATAGTGAGTTATGTTTGCATTAAATATTTACCAGAGATCCAAAGTTAAAATAATTAAAAGAGCTTTCCAAATTAAAGAGCAAATGAATTGCCTTGCAGAGATACAACATTAATCAAAAAATACACATCAACACTTTTTTGTGTATGAAATTGTATAAAAAAGAATATTTTTGACTAGAAGTGCGAGTCACTGAAGCCTTCACTTTTAAAGTCATGTGCAAACCAGCGTGAGTTTTCTCCTTGGTTGAGTGTTGAGCATAAAAAAAATAAATCACAATAATTTACACATATTCTTGGAATTTATGGAAGCTGGATCCTGCCTTGGCGAGGTATACACTGTCATCTTTTGCAGCACTTTTTTCCTCCATTAAATATGCATCAATGTAGTGGTCTTCTTCTTTGGTTCTCCGTTTGCTATATCTGAAGAGCAGGATGATTCCTGTGGCCAGCAATACACCAGAAGTTCCCCAGCCGATGAAGATTGCTTGTCCCAGCTCTCGTTTCTGAGCATCCAGCAATGTTGGATTATAGAACTGTTTGATAATCGAGTGGCCCACCCAGCTGACAGGAATGAGTGTAGTCAGAAATGAAAGGAGATACAAACACCCCCCAAAAGCCAGAGTGATGTTTTTGCTCTTCATGTTGTCACCACAACAGTAGCTCCTCTTGATTCCACAGGCAGTGACAATCAAGGCGATGAAAACCAGAGCAATGGAGACGCACATTAATCCCCTCGCCGCCTGCAGCTCGACCGGGAGAACCAGCAGGGAGTCGTACACCTTGCACTGCATCTTGATGTCAATATGTCTGTAGCAGGTCATCCAGAGGCCTTCCCAGAGCTCCTCCATTATGATAAGATTGGCCCCAATGAAGGCTGAGACCTTCCAGGTTGGTAGAGCAGTTACAGTGATTGTCCCAAACAGGCCAAGGAAGCCCAGAACCAGGGCTACGATTTCCAGCTTTGCTTTCATGGTTAAGAGGAAGAAACGTGTGCTCGTCTCGTCTTTTCTGTGTGCGTGCAGTGCAGGTACTAACCAGCATGTCTGTTTAACAAGACTCTAAATCTGATATAGTCATGCAATGCATGTAATGTCACTCTGCTGGTTTGGAACACCTTAATCTTAAAAAATAACAGTGCTTTTAGTAAAGGAAAATTAAACTACATTAGTCTTTCTCCTGAACCAAATGTCAACGCTTCTTGTCATGCATTACATATAAACAATTTGCATGTGCTAAAAAACAAAGAAAAGCTAATTGGGTCAACATCCTGCCTGTTTAGATGTAGTGACCCCCAATCTAGAGGAAGAAAATGCTTTTTCTTCCATAGCTACTGCAATTCTTAAAAAAAATAGAGAAAACAAAAATAAATGACAAAAAAATAAGATACAATTATTCAAGAACAAGGTGAATAAAATGTATGGCTAAGTGTTGAACTACATATTGTTACTGATCAGAAGTTTCCATATAATCATCATTAAAAAGTCCGTCATTAATTTGGGTTGGTTTTTATGGATGCATTTGAACTGTTTTACTTTTTGTTTGTTTGTTTGTCTTTTTCTATGCAGAAACATTTTATAACATAGAACACAGAATATTCCTGAATTATTTAAGTGTATGTTGCTTCTTACCTTAAGAAAAGACTTCCAAATATACTGACAAAGTACTAAAGGAAATCAAACTAATAATTGGCCGCCAATGATTTTTGTGTTCCCTTTTAATCAACACAGTGTAAACATTTTACGTACAGGCCTAGATTTACCCAAACATCCATACTAATACTTTAATAAATGTCCTCAAGCTGTAAAAGCCTTATTTTATTCTGTAATAATCAACAAACATCAACAATAATTCTGGTTGAATATTTAACTGCTTGATTTTATCATAAATACAATCCTCATTTCAAATTATCCAATTTATTGTTTATTCTCCAATGGTTACCGTAAGTTAATTTCTTAACATTACTCTGTTTACATTTAAAAGCACATTTTTTGTGTTCAAAAGATGCCAGTCTAAATGTCTTCAGAAAAGTTTTATGAACAGATGACACAAACATCATATAGTTTGCTACATCGATGCTTTTAAACCTCAGACCACTGTGTTTAAAGCAAAATGATGGTTGCATAATACTGAGGGCTTTGCACAGAGCAGTCGGATTACTGTTGATCAGATTCATCAATTTCCTCTCAGATCAAACAAGACTTGCCAAAATGGGGAGTTCTCACAGAAAAATGAATCTAATATCAAAACTGGGTTTAAAACAGATTAAGCAGGCAAACATCAAGGCTTTACAAAGGTCATGGTTTCCTCCCTATCTATGATATTTGCCCACAATTCAGGACAAGGACGGGAAACCAGACCACATAGTTTATAAATAGCTTTTCTAATGAGAAAAGCAATGAAATATATACAAACAGAATAGTATTAGAATCCAAACATGATTCTGACATTTATGCTGATATTTAGTATATATGTTTAATCAGAAAGGCAGTTATTTTATAAGATTTCATTAGTGGCTAGTTTGTGAACAGATTTAACTAAATTTTGGATTCCATATCTCAAGAGCACCTCTCTGGAGTGTATATTTGAATTTTCTCACAATCTAGAAAGCTTTGACAACATATGTTATATTATTTTTTGTTAAAAATACATTAAGTATGTTTAGTGTATAGTCTTTTCTATATGTTAGGACTATATTCATGTTTTGTTATTTATTTATATGTTTCCATTTCCAAAAGCTGGTTGAAGCTATAAGCCTTAGTGGCCACTCATATCGATGTACAAACAATTACAATACTGATTTTTTTTAAATCAGTATTATAATTGCGGAAAAAAAAAAAAAAAAAAAAATTGCACATTAGAGTTTAAACTAGATTTTTTTTTTTCTCCATTAAATGTAGGTAGAATCATTTCAAAACAGTGACAGACTTTAGAGTGGAGAAGAGCAGCCACTTCTTCTGTGACACCTTATTTGATCTAAAAAAAAAAAAAAAAGGTGACACCCTGTTGATCATCCTGTTTCTAAGAAGACAAGAGAGCAACAGACAAAGAAATGTGGCAGGAGAGGTCACAATACAGGAACAGAAACCGGAAAACCTGCTGAACAGGTTCTCTGGCCAATACTGCCGTCAGCTGCTTTGAATGTAAACAGATAAGATCACTGTGAAAAAACCAGAGTGGTAAAGTTAAAAACAAATGAAAGATGGCTTTGAAAGAAGTTCTGCTGCGGCTAAAATTTTAATGTTTGATTTTTATTTCAAATCTAGATTACATAGGAATGAAATAACTGTTTTTAAAGGAAAATGAAAATCATATAAAGGAATAAACATTAAGCTGTAACTATTTGGATACAGGAAATGTTCAATAGGCTTCATGCGCCCCCTACTGAATGCAAATATGACTGCTGACACCTAAGTGTTGAAGGAACAGTTTTCTCAAGAACTGCTTACTTGGTGACACATCGCTGCTTTATTAAACAAAGGTTTCCTGGTTGAATAAGATGTTTGAATAAAAGTAGGGCACCATACTTAGAAACGTTTGAAACCGTACAAACCGTACGTTTGAAACCGTATTTATTAATGACACTGAGTTGCTGCTGAGTTACAGGAAAGAATATATATATATATATATATATAATTATTATGTCAGTGCCGAAATCACAATACTTACATAATTGATAAATTAAAAAAACAATGTATAGCACTGGATTGCCTTGAATATGACATTGTCTGAAATAATTTTCTTCAGAAAAATAATATATCATTTATTTAGTTTTATGCACTGTTACATTCTCTTTAAAAACATTTTAACTGCAAATACAAGGATAAATGCCTAAATATCCGAATAAAGGCAAAACAACATATTTTAAATAGCAAAAATGTGTTAGAATTATTATTCATTTCAATTATTTCCTTCAATAATTAAAAAAACAAGTTATTTTTTAATAAAATCTATTTCTTTATATTTCATTATCTTACAAATTGTAGTATTACTTCTGTATTAGTTTCTCCCTCTGCAATCTCAGGATGGTCACACAGTAGAATAACAAAATACATCTATGCTTGCTAAATGTAGGCCATAGATAAAAGTAATGTTCGCAGTCATGTAAACTCAAATCTTTAGCATATTTAGTATGACATCTATAAAATGTTCTATGTGTTTAATGCATAAATTCGAAAAACAAGCAACATTATTTATTTTCTCTAAGCTGGTTTTTCAAGTAGTAGTAATAAACTTGTTTTGTGGTCATAAAAAAACAAGTCTTTAAACATGGATCCCCACATCCCAAGGTTTGGATGTCCTCGATGTCGTGTCTTGGTGTGCTTTTTTTCCAAACATCTCCATAGCATGATCCTGCAAACAATGTTTTAATATGGGGATGGTGGGTTTTGGGTAAGTAATAAAAGCAGATCTTGTTTTCTCCAAACATGGTGCTTTGAATGCAGCCCCATACAGTTAATCTGTGATGTCAGGTGTGTCATGCCCTGTTTACACTACCCTTTTGAAACCGTATCGAGATAACTGTTGAGTGCACAACAGAACAGCGCTAACATGGTACTATTTCATCAGTAAGGCATCAGTAGGGATCTGCTTATTGTCTTCTTCTGCTGTATCTCTGACCTCTCTGTGGAACTTCTCCTTCTTCAAGATGTTTTCTATTCTTTAAGCTTATTTAAAATAAATTATAATAATAATAATGCACACACAGAACAGATTATTTTTTATGAGATTATAATTTTCTTCTTTTTACTCCTAAGGTGAATTCTGAATGCACTTGAATTGTTTTTATTGTTTCCATCCATCCATTTTCCGTCACATTATATCCTAGCTGGGGTTGTGAGGGGTGTTGATGCCTTTATCCCGCTGTCAATGGGCAAGAGGCGGGGTCAACCCTGGACAGGTCGCCAGTCCATCGCAGGGCAACACAGAGAGAAACAGGACAAATAACTATTCAGGCACACACTCACACCTCAGGAGAATTTAGAAAACAGTCATAGTTTTTCTTGGAAGGAAGCCGGAGTACCCCATCCTGCAGCTGGGAATTGAACCTGAACCTTCTTGGTAGCAGTGCTACCCACTGTCGTACTGTGCAGCCTCCATTAGAGTTATATCAAAGCTAAACAAATATGCAAGTACAACTGCTTCTTATATGGTTAATATTCAGAAAACTAAACATTTGCTCAATTTGATCATATAATTATCTTGTGCTTTGTGTTGGTTAAGCAACATATTAACCCTATAAACACATTGAGGTTTATGGCTGTAATGTAAAAAGTATTGGAAAATGTATTTTTTCACCAAGAGGCTGACTTGACTTGTGAAAGCATCCTTAATCAAATTTAGTGATCAAAAGCAAACACTCCTTTTTTGTGTGATAAATCATAATAATCAAAATTGCAATTATTTTAACTGATATTTCGTTTGGGATTTTATTTCAAATTTTCTTTGGATTAACTACAAGTATGTAGATGTTTCTCTACATACTTCGTTTCAGTTTTGGATGACCTCGAAAGCTTGATTCTCCAGAGTCTATTTTTGCAGGACTTTACAGTAACCTTCATCTTCCGTGCACTGATCTGCCTGCTAGTTACAACATTTTCTTTCCTTCTTTGCGGCCACCAACCCACCTGAAGGGTTGGAGTGAGAAATGTAGTGTCTAATTCTGGGGAAGTCATGTAACTAAAATTGAGTGCCTCTGCGATTTGAAAATTGGGTTTTGTTAAATCGCAATTATATTGTTATGGCAATTAATTGCTCGGCTGTATTAAAATAATATTCTCAATACTAAAACTAATAAGAATTTTCTTTGCCATGATCGAGTCAGATGGAAAGTTTCAGCTCTGAAATATGTTTTTGGTTCTATATTTTTTCCTCTTTGTCATACATAAGCATTTTTGATGTATTGCAAGCAGTTTAACGTACATATCTGTAAAAACAATTTTGAGCAGTTTAAAATGAAAACACATGATTCAGAACACAGCAGCTTTGAATTTTGAATGCTTTGAAGTAGGAAACAAATGTATTTATTATGATATCAATACATTATATATATATATATATGTACAAATAATAAAAATGAAGTCCTAGAAGCATAATGAGCTTTTTAAATCATGACTTCGTTCAATGGTCAGATATCCTACCAGCCTTTCGCCTTGATTGCATTAGCAACTTTGGACTCTGTGGGGGAAAAAAACAACAACAAAAAAGCAAATCCAAGTTATTTCTGATGCTTGTGACTAGAAAATAATTTTACACATGAATAAATAAAACATTTTCTTTGAAATCCATTGCTAAAAAGAATGTAGAAACACAAACAACTCAGAAGAAGTAGTGTAAATTATCTATAATAAAGTGAACGGTGAAATGTTTGTGTGTGTGATCTGCAGTTCATTAGGCAGTAATATTGGTAAAAACACAACATGGTTTCACAGTAGTAAAAAAAAATGACACAGCAAATACAAATTCAAGTAAAAACAGGATAATGTTAAACTAAAAAAGCAAGAATAAGTCCATTGTTTCAGTAAAATTACAGCTTTTATAGCATTTGGTTATTAAATGTAACAAGAGAGCTAAAACAAACGAGCAAAATCATGACAACAGTTTATATTCATGTGAACTATACAGTAAACTATGCAAGACTGTCGTCTGCAATTGATTATTCTATGTCTTTAGGGACAAATAATATACAGCCCTTAACTATGATAATAACTCTGAGTCACACAGACCAAACAAATATTAATGTTCTCACAATACCTAAATTTGGCAACAGCAGGCAGGACCAAAGAACGAGCCCAAATGTGCAAACCATGCCAATCAAAGCAAGTGATTACATCTCATGATTGTACCATTATTTCACCTCTCTAAGCAAACACTTGACAGCTATGAAACAGCATCTGAGCTGGGATACAGCTCTCCCATTCTGGAATTAATTATTGCTCTAAAAATGATCTTACCTGTACAAAATAAGCATTCAGCATAAGTAAGGTGAAGGAGGGTGCGCTGTTTCTTTTACTAGCTGTGATATATATCAATGCTCATGCACTGTTTGTGATGAGTGATCATTGTGCGGAAATATAAAGAGATTCCCATCGCTTTCAGCTCTTATGTAGCGCTGTCTGAGGATGAACCTGATAGCTCCCTTCGAACCCAAACCTCATCTTTCTCTGCTTGATTCCCAGAGTTGTGAGTTATGGAGCTCTTCCCTGTGTCTGATATCTTCTCTTCATCGGGTTCCTTGTTCTCAGCTGGGGACTGCAGATTCTTCCTACTGTCTGTTTCTGAAACCTCCAGAGATAAAGCCCTCAGGGGGCTCTCCAGCTCAGCTTCTTCAGACAGAGCCCTGGGTGTTTGGCTAAATTCGTCATCATCATCACTTAGGATGTCTGTCTCCTTCATCTCTTCCTGGTCTTCATACTCTTCCAGGTCAAACTGCTCCTCTACCCAGCGGTCTGTATCACCTGCCAACTGCTCATCCTTCTGCTGCGGAGGAACAGAGTCTGATTCCTGTGGTGAAGTGAGGTCCTGCTGTTCTGGGTCCCCATCAAAAACAATGTCAGTGTCTATGGTGAAACGGTTGCGCACCAGCTTTCTTCTGCCCAGAGTCCTAGTAGGGGCAGATGCTGTTAAACAGATAAAATAAAAAACACAATTAAATACAAGTAAAAGCAGAAGACTTTTGTAAAAGGACAAATAATAGTTTATAGAACAGCCTTCTGGTTCACTCTCATTTAGAACATATTCATTTTGCATGTCTAATGACCGATGTTTTCATCCATTCTGTTTTTTGCAAAAAGTTAAAATCCTGCAAGGTCGTACTAAATAAAAATCGATTGTCAACATTTTCCTCAGGTTCAAACCATGAAGGATGCAGGCTTAAACCAATCCTGGTTGCATGTTTAGATTTTTGTCCTATTGGAAAATAAACTTCAGCTTAAGTCTCAGGTCTTTTGCAAAGAGCATTATGTTATTTCTATACCCATAGTATCTTGCATCCAAATTCAAAACTTAAAAAGGCTTTAGCAATATAGCTTAACCTTAATATAACTAAATAAAAATATATATATATAACAAAATACAAAGAAGTTAAAGGGGTATAAATATTTTTGCAAAGCGCTATATATAGTAGTCCCTTCATACATCATTGTAAATTGTTTGGATGCACAGTTAAAGTTATAAATGAATAGCTTAGATTCCACCAAAGATCCTATCTGTGTCAGTAAGGAAGGAATTGGGACACTAAGCCACAGGATGAATAAAGCCACAGGCTGGCATTTACCGGCTCTATTTATGGCTGGACGGGCTCCCTTCAGGGCACACAGTCGCTTTCCTCCAAATGGCACATACTGCTGGTTCAGGGGTAAACTCTCCGTCTTTAAGAGCTGTCGGCGGTGCTTTTCCCTCAAGATGGAGTGGAACGTCTTCAGGAATTCCTTTCTGCTCTCCGGAGAGCTGAGAGAGGAGATAGAAAAGCTGTATTATCTGTTTGTCAGTGTGATGGGAGCTTCATGCATACTTTAATTTGTGGTGAAACTCCTCCACCTCCTTCAAGAGGCAACCCTCACCTGCAGCACAGGTGAAAAGTCCTCTCTGGTCTTCCCTCTGACTCGGATTTTGTGTGAACTACTTCACACATAGCAGAACTTTCCCCATCTGTTTGGTACAAATATTAGCGTTATTTGCAGTGAAACATGGGGAACTGAAACTCAAAACAGAATCTGGTGCATAATCTACCTGTGTTTGACATGGATCTTATTTGAAGGGCATCAGTGGGGATCATGTGACGGAATCGAAAAGGATCTTTTTCTTCTGAGGAAACAGAAACTCGATGGGAACCACCCTTCAATCAAATAGAGATTATAATGTAAAAATCCAACAGAAAACCACTGCTAAATCCACTTTCATATTGAAAGTACAGTTGCAGATTTTAACCTATGAGTGCCTTGTTTGTGGGAAAACTTACAATTTTCTTCTTCTGCTTAGACTCTTCTTTGCATACAAAGACCACAGCTGTTTTGAAAACTGAAAAGCATAAAAAATAAGGTGGATTTCACAGTGGAGTTTAGTGTACAAATATAGTAGTATTTAAAAACAATATGTTAAAAAAAATGTTTTTACATTTGCCATCTCCAAGTTAAAGCAGCTATTAAAAAATTTTAAACTGCAAAAAATGATTGAACTACCTTGGAGAAGCACTGAGCTAACATTGTACCCCTGTATACGTAAAAGTTTGTGTTCGATCTGCGTACTTTAATGTTTTTATTAGGACTTTATGTGTTAGAGTCGTGCCTTTCAGAATTTTTAGCTTCTGACCCTAAAATTAAAAAAAATCAGATGCTAGAGTTAAATTGAGTTCAAAAGCATTTTGACTCAACAACTTAAAAATTCATACAATGACAAAGCATTCAATAGACACTATAGTAACACTTTTTCACTCTATCTATTATAAAATACATATGCTTTATCATTATTTTTTGGTAAGTTGTTTCATGTTAGAAAAAAAGTATATCCTCTATTAACCTTCCTTTACTCTGACATCCTCTGTGTTGTGTATTTAAACTGCAACCCAGCTAAGGTTTTACTTAGCAGACCCACGTTTTGCTGCAAGTCCTTTGTGTGCCTCTATTCCAGCTTTTCACATTGGTCATTTTTTAAAAAAAGGCTTAAGTAAATGTGCATAATTTCTTAAGTTCAACCACAGATTTTAAAACGGTACTTTCGTTTAGACAGCATAGTTATCTACGGAAGAGGATTAGGGCCACTGAAAAAAAAAAAAAGTTAACTGATTTTTTTTATTTTATTTCAGTATAGTATGGGAAAAAAGTCAGAATTCTGACTTTTTTCCTCAGAATTCTGACTTTTTTCTCAGAATTCTGACTTTTTTTATTGTCAGAATTCAGTCAGAATTCTGAGAAAAAAATCAGAATTCTGACTTTTCCCCATACTATACTGAAATAAAAAAAAAAAAAAATCAGTTCACTTTTTTTTTTTTTTTTTCAGTGGCCCTAATCCTCTTCCGTAGTTATCCATATGTGGTCAGCATGTAAAAATATGTGTCAGATTTTTTTAAGATTTTTATAAGTGAAACATTTAGACAATAATATACCTGCTTACTGAAACTCCACAACTGTATTCACACTGATATATCTTATAAAATCCCAGTAAAACACCTGGAAGTTTGTTTTCTGTGTTAGGGTGCACCATTGTTATCCTACGTAGGGAAGGAGAGTGTCAATAATTTCTTTCTTTCTCTATGAAGGTGAAAATTTGAAAATATTCAAATGGTAAGACATTGCATCTAAAAATAAATGCTAAATATTGTCACGATTCTACATTTTCTGGACTGTTTGGTTTTGTTTAAGTTTCCTTTATGATTTTTCAGTCACACTTTGATTTATGTCATTCTGTGTTAGCTAGCTAATTGGTTTCATTTCCATTTTGTGTAATTCTAGTTGTTTTCTGGTTGTATTTGAGTTCTTATGTATTTCTTTGTATGTACTCCTTTCCCCATCTCCCCTCTGGATCCTACTGTCCCAACCTGCTCCTAATCAGTTGATTACTCATGTATTCTCCTCCTCTGCTGTTACTGGATTCTCTTCATTCCCTCATTAACCTATGTGTTCTCTTTTGTTCAGGTTCCCATGTTTCTTGATTAGCTATTTCTGGATTAATGCTTCTGTTGCCACCACTTATTATTAAATCTGCAAGAAACCACCTCAGCTTCCATCTCTGCATTTGGGTCCTCTACAAACCTCCAATTCTTTCTGTGCAATATCCGACAAACACAGTGGTGTAATGTTGATGTTCAGTTTGACAGTAGAACAAAGATTACAAGCAGAAATGCAAATTTTCAAATCACATTTTATGATTTCCTCACTACTTTGATTTACTCGATTGAAATGAAAATACTTTTAAAACATGTTTTTGCCAAAGATATGTTTTTCTAGATAAACCCTGAAGTTTCAGTGGGCCATTGATATAACAAAAGATTAGTTATGGGTATGATTATAATAAGTTGTTAGATTATGAGCTGTTCCTTTCTTTTAACACTTTGTAACAAAGTCATTTTCTGATTACTTTGATGCGGAAACACAGCATAGAAGAATACATTATATTTATTAAACTGCATTTCATCACTGACATACCAAATGTTGCCATCTGTGGTTCTTTCTTCCATTTTCCAAGGGAAACAGGAGGGTTGATCCATGTCACTGTGTTGTGGAGCAGCAGATCGCCCATCGATAGATCAGCCACCTGGTTGTTGTGTGAAAATATCAGCGGCGTCATTTCATCTCTTTTCTTTTTTATTATTTTGACAGAACAAAGTCCAAACCTACCTCTTTCTTTTCACTGCTCTGCTCAGTGATTAGCTGGTCAAACACTGCTCCAAACTCCTCATGGATCTTCTGCATTTCATTGATGTGGCTGGCAACCTTGTTCATAGCCTTTATAGCAACTAGAGCCAAGAAGAAAACGTGTTTTGAGCTAAACTGTTGTGATAGTCCATGCTATAAATGTAGCTCTCCGTCAGAAAGAATTAATCTCCTCAGTAAATTATAAATTTGTCTTACCATCCAAATGGTAGTGTTCCTCGCTGTCTGGGTCAGTCAGGGAGTAGAGCTCCCTCAACAGAAGGGGGTATTTTAGCACCCTCTGGATGGGTTTGATTAAATAGGATTCTAGGGTGGAGGAGTGCTGCTGCTTGGGATTTCGCTCATCAAGAAAGGCCTTGAAATTAAGGTCAGTTTTGGCTAAAAAGGCATAAAAACATTGTGTTGGCAAAAGCTTTAACCTTTAGCATAACTAATAAGGATTTTCTACAATAGATAGGCATGGGAGAGGTGATGTACTTGTGATTAAAGGATATCAAGGCATATTGAGCTTTAAAACTAACAACAAGTTTCCATTATATAATTTCTAGGCTGGTCATTTGACCAGATAACTGCCCTTTGGAACAAAAAGAAGCACATGACCCAAGATATTACAAGCTGGCCCTGCAAACTGCCTGTCAGCTGGCTTATAAACATTGCTTTTAACAATTAAACACAAGCATATATATATATATATATATATATATATATATATATTAGGGATGCACGATATATTCGGCCCCCTATCGGTATCGGCCTGTATCGGCCTTAAACCTGAATATCGTATACCGGCCACCCCACCGATATTTAACCCGATATTTGATCAACTTCTGAGTTTCTAAAGTAAAAAAAAAATAAACTAAAAAATACTACTTCTTCTTCCTCAAAAACTTCTTTTTTACAGACTTAAAAACTTCTAAAGACGAGGGAAAAAATATTGATGCGGTATCGATCTATTTTACTAACAAAATCTCACAAGAATTTGCAAAATATCACGAGTTTGTAGCAGAACAATGAAATTTCACTCGATTTTGAAAGATACCGCGTTTTTAAAAATCAATATGATATCAGCATATGAAAATATATTTGAGTATATTATTTTTCAAAGTGTCAGAAATTGATAACAAAACTTCTATTTTCAATGACTACTTATTTTTGTCCAGCTTTAGCATCGGTATCGATATCGGTTATCGGCTACATGAGTTTTAAAATATCAGCATATCGGATATCGACCAATATCCCAATATCGTGCATCCCTAATATATATACATATATATATATATATATATATATATATATATATATATATATATATATATATATATATATATATATATATATATATATTTTAACATCAAATTACAATTTAGACAAATATGCAGTCAAAGTTTGTGGACATTTGGCGTGACAAAATGAAAAAACCTTTTAGAAATGTTGAACAGCTGGGAGCACGATCACTACTCTAACCTGAACATGAAAGATTTTAGTGTTCTGACTAAAAACAAAACACATCCTGATGCTTACCTTTATTTCATGAAGTTTAATTACACATAAGTGAGTGTTTAAATCCTGTTTAGGATATGGTCTCTCTGCATTCTGTCATGTATTAGTACACGTATTTGCTGGCATATATATAGGATTTAATTCCTGAGATTATGTGAAATAAGATTGTTATATCGAAATAAAATTAAGCCTGTCTCGTAAAGTGATTGATAGCATTACAAAAACCCTGCATTGCAGATAAGAGGTTGACTCACTGAATATAATAGTGGCACACAAAGCATTCCAGTGAAGATATAAAGGGAGTGGGTGTAGTGGCTTCAGAGCGGTCTGTTCAACACTTCTAATTACATATCATACAATCTTGCTGGGCTTTCAACCCGGAGAGTTTCCAGCTGGAGGGTATACAAAGGGTCAGATGGACAACTGCGGGCCACAATTCGGCAGAGCAGATTTATGGAGAATTGCAATACACAGCAAATGGTTGCTGGATAAACACACACTCTCCTGTGAGGCAAGGTGGAATGTCACCTCAAGGGAAAGAAAAAATGTACTCACCCTTTACAAGAACCTTTGGGACCTTGGTGTGGCTGGCGCAGAAAGCACTGTAGATCTTAAAACGGTCTGCATAGTACAAGAAAGAGCCTCCTAGAGAAAAGAGTATTTTCTGGAAAAGAGTTCAATAAGTCAAAAAATGTCCATGGGGCTCTTCAATGTTTGATAGTTTTTTTTTTTTTTTATGATTGATATGTTAGAAAAAGCACAGATTTTTTTTTTTTTTTACCTTAAACTGATCCACACTCTCCAGTCTCTCCAGATCTGGAACTAATCTGGTTCCATCTTCAAGAGTTTTTAGAAACTCTACCTGGAATTCCACCATTTCGGGTAAATTACCAAACAGAACATCCAGCTGTAAAAAAGGGAAAAGAAGATTTCTATATTATAATATTTCCATTTTAATAGTGTGAAAATTCAAATAGTCACGCAACATGAATTTTAATGTTGCAAATGCATGTGAAGAATATTTTAATTCCCTCTCTCTTCAATTTCCATCTCCTCTTGTTTTACGGAGTAACACTTCACATGATTATGCAACAAACCATTAATAGAATATCTCACAGCGCTGGCATCTAAAAGCCAAGGTACGCTTTAAAAGCTTTTGCATGGGAATGATTTACATACCTCATCCTGTGTGAGAAAGTTCTCTTTCTGCAGCGGGGTTAAATATCTCCCAATAAGACAATTGAGATCCTGCAAGGCAAAAATTAATTAATTACTTTGGGTTAATTGAATTTTAATTTGCTATGTGGGGTACAAACAGAAACACAACTAGAGATACAGGTATAAAATATACAGTTTAAGAGGAGGAAAAGGACAGTTCAAAATACAAGTCAGAGGAAATGTCACAATCCTTTTTAAATGAATTTTAACAAATAAGCCGGAAACTAAGGTACATCACTTTTGAAAACAATGTGACATGCAAAAGGTTTAATGGATGGAAATGTCTGAAATGGCTAAATGTGATTAAACAGGTTTTTTTTTTTTTATAGAGCCTTAGATAACTGTCATGAGGCTGGAAGAAATCAAAAAGACTACAAAATGAAACGGTTTTGAGTTAGCATAAATTCACATTGGAAACGGAAACTTTATGATCTCCAAGAGACAAAAACAAGAGTATGAGAGCAGCTCCATTAGTTAAAAAATTATCAACTTAACTGATGTCAAATATTTAATTTAAATACAGATTTATTAAATACAGACTGACATATTTCAAGCATTTATTTTGGTACATTTATCATTTACGGCAAATTAAAACCTAAACTTTGGTTTCTTAAAAATATCACATTAGACCTAAAAACAAAAAAACTGTGAGTTTGCATACACATTGAATGAAAGCCAAAGTTTTGTTTGAGTTTTAAGAAAATTCAAAAGTAAGGTCAAGAAAAAGTGTGTTTGGAGTCTGTTTTAAAAACCACCAGATAGATGTATGCAGGAAACACACTACGAATGTCCCTTTTATTGCTTGTTATTAAATGACTATGAGATCTATGAAATTAATTAAAGAACTGAACTGCTGCTCAAAGGCCAAATGTAAAATTCTAAGGCAAATATAAACTTAGCATTAATAATGGAAGTAAATGTGGAGACACAAAACACCTTTTTTTGTACGTTGGTGGTGGTGCCCTGCTTTTTCTTAAGCCAGCCCAGTTAAATACTTCCTGCTTTCATGGGCTAACAGGCTCTCTGAATCTGCTAACTTTATTTTAGCACTTATTGTCAAAGAGATCATTGGGGGTACCCAAAGCACACAGATAATCTATGCCAGGGGGTCTTCAGTTCTTGTCCTCTAGGAACCTTTAGATGTATTCCCAACATACCTAAATCAAATGGGTGAATCACCTCCTCAGTATGTTGTGAAGTTCTCAGGAGTCCAGCAAATAAACTGAATATTTCAGTCTGGTTTGTTGAAGCAGAAACAGACAATTCATGGTTCAAGGTTGAGGACACAGGACCCCTGAGGAGCGGAACTGAAGACCCCGAATCTATGGGGTGTTGGCAGGAGGAAAACTAGAAACACCAAACCCAATAAATCTACCCTGTCATCCTAAATACTTCAGTAATGCCTAAATTCAAGCAAAGTAACCGCTAACCAGTAATTAAATGTATATACAGTACTATATATGGACGGATTTTATATTTTTCTCAATTGAGCTGGTTATTTGTAACCGTACATAGAGTATTAGGGCCAGGTTAGAGATTTTTTAAATTATGAAACACTATGAGAATAAAGTCATAAAATTATGAGAATACAGTCGCAACAAGAATAAAGTCATGAAATTACGAGACTAAAGTCGCAACATTACAAATATAAAGTTGTAAAATTACGAGAACAAAGGTGTAACATAACAACTATAAAGTCATAAAATTACGTAAAATGAAGTCCTAATATTACAAGAATAAAGTTGTATTTCATAACAAGCATTTTTTTTTACCTAAAATGAGCAATGTCGTGCATAATGTGAAGTTATATTTTGGCATCGATTTGACAAATAAGGAAATCTTTTAGCACTCCAGCATCAAATTGGGCAGGATGTTAAAGTGGACTCAGGTTGCTGTTTGGTGATGCTGATCGGCCGTCATCTGCTGGTCGGAGCTCAAAGTTTCTTTCTGAAACGGGTTGTGGAATGATGATTTAATTCTTGGAATTTTTCAACTTTATTCTCATTATGACTTTATTCTCGGAATTTTATTGACTTTATTCTTATAATATTGTGACTTAATTTTCATATTAAAAAATAAAATCTCTTGCCTGGCCCTAACACTCTGTCGTAATAAGCCTAGTTATACAATGAACAAAATGAATTGCTTGATATATATCACTCTTTTGTAATCCAACTTTAAGATTTTCCCTTTTTGACTGAAATAATGAAACAAATTATATGATATTGTACTTTATTGAAATGCATTCGCCTAATAAATCAGCATAAAAAACAACCATTCAAATTAAAATGACAGCAGCAGTCCACTCTGCTATGTGTCCCTCGGGCTTTTTCAAAAAGGAGTAAATAAACATACATAAACATTAAGCGTGCCTTTGTGACAGACAAGAGTTAATTACAAGAAATTAAGAACCCAAGAAAAATAAATAAATAAACCAGCTCCTTAAATCTTGTGTGATATACGATCAATCATTTGTAATGTGATTTCTTCAATAAGTATTTCTCTGCCCCCTAGAATGAGAGATAGTCATTCAAATAGTCTTGACAGTTTCCCATTATATACCATGTCTAACCCAGTTATTCCACAGAGCCATTTTTATACCAGGCAGGGAAAGATTAGAAAATATCCAGACAAGGACACAGCTGTGTCCCCATCATGTCTAAGGGGACACAGATAAGTATGAATTGTTTATACAGAAACTCTGACGATAGATGGGAGAAAAAGCAATCACAAACATCTGCTAAGTGATGGGTAAGACGATGGATACTGACTTTGACATAGGTGCGCTCGGTCTCCACTAGTTCACAGATCACTTTGCGGAGCTTGTCGGCATCAGACAGCTGCCGAGGAGTCACGGTAGGCGGGAAGGGTGAGTCCGGGCTCGGCGAAGAGGACATGCACTCTGACGGATTCATGTCATGGAGACTGCGACAAAAAGCAGCGACCTGCTCGGTGCTCTTTGAAGAACAAATAAAAAGGAGAAGGAGAGAGATGAATTAACCCCCAAAAAGATAAAAGTGTAGTCCCAGTGTTAGGTCATAAAAGGAAATATGCATGCAGCTGATCAGCACCTTGAAAGGGAATGTGTAGGCATCACCTTCTACCTACTGATGTGCACAGACTCATGACTGTTCAGAGAGTGAGCCTAGAAAGAGGCAGAGAGGCAGCTCTAAAAAAATCTTTTGCACTAATTTGGTCTATTTCAGTCTATCAGAACTCTGACTTTCCGACCTCCTCTTTTTCTCTCACTTCCCCGGTTGCTTTCTTCCTGCTGATGGATTAGCAGTGTAATGATTCAACTCTTTCACTGGATCAAAATATACAAACACTGTGTGTCCACAAAGAGTATGGGTTGCCATGGTGACCGGCCCTGATGTGACTATTATTTTGGACCAAAATAGACCCCTCTCAACAAAAGCCTGCATGGCTGAACAAATAGTTACTTTGTTTGCAAAAGGCTACAGCCTCTGCAGCCAAACAAAAATAAGAAACGCCAGCATGTAACATCAATACGATCACAAAAGAGAAGGCACAAAGAGACTCATGTCTTATCCATCATAACTTGATCTCATCCTACTTTAGAAGATCACGACAAAAGAGATTAACTCAGAATATCCAGCATACAAACGGCCCAGCCAGAGTACATTAAAAAACGTATAAAGGGGTCAAAGATGTCTCTGCCTCGTAAAACGGGCAGTTTTATAGACTTGGCAGAATCACTTTATCCTGTCACACCTACAAGTTCCTCTGGGATAAAATAATTACAGTATATAGGCCCCACATAGCTGCCGAGGATGGATGGATGGTTCTAATCTTAATTAAGATCGAGGCGCTGCCAGTCAGCACATCTCTCAACATCAAAACTGCTGCATAAAACGCAATGCGCAAACAAAAATGTGCCGTTCATCTATCAAAAGAGCTGCTTCTCTATATGTTGTTTGAGTAACAGAATAAAAAGGACATGAGGAAAACATTTTTGTCTTTAAATACATGATTGAATGATGTCTAATAAACAAAATTAACTAATCTTTTAATTAATTAAAGCTCATGCATTTTTTTATTAAAGTGATTGTGAGCATTGTTATCTAATCAAGCAGACATTTCTGGGAGAAGCTACAGACGGGAGATAGATTTGCAAAAATTCTCTGGAGGCTTCAACACCAACTAGAGGTACTATGACTGCTCTATTGCCAAAACTGCATTTTATGACATCTAAATACAACTTTGTCAAAAAAGTGTGTCGCTAGCCTTCACAGTTTGTTCACAGTTGCTGATTACAACTGTGAACAAATAAAGAGATTTACTTGTGAATGTTTATTACATTCTTGTTTAATATGCAAGAGTCAGCATTTATTTATATTGTTATTTAAAGTAAACATCTTGTACCAAAGTGCTGCACAAAAGGACATACCATTAAAATAATCCACTAGTATGTATGTAGACAGAATGCACAAGCTTATACATTTATTTACAGTGCAGTCATATATGCATAATACAGCATAAAACCATGCATGTATGTAGTGCTGGTGTGACAACACATTTCAGTGTATTTAACTGTCTACATGATCATCCATCTTCTTCTGCTTATTCTATCAAGGTGACAACGGGGCTGGTGTCTATCTCCAGCAATCTGTGGGCGAAAGGCAGGGTACACCATGGACAGATCGCCAGTCCATAGTATGGCAACGCAGAGACAAACACACACACAAACACACACACACACACATACACCATACACACACACACACACACACAAACACACATACACACACACACAAACACGCACACACACACACACACACACCATACACACACACACACACACACACACACACACACACACACACACCTAAGAACAATTTAGAGAAGCCAATTAACCTAACAGTCATGCTTTTGGACTGTGGGAGGAAGCTGGAGTATCCGGGGAGGACCACGCATGCTCAGGGAGAACATGCAAACTCCATGCAGAAAGACCCCGGGCCAGAAATCGAACACATAACCCTCAAGCTGGAATAGTGTGACAAACTGCTCCACCGTGCAGCACTAACAAATATTATGTACTAAAGTAAAATGTTTTTTGTAGCTATACTTAATTTAAAAGCCAAATATTAGAGGCAGGTCTTTCAAACTGCTTTAAAATGTTCTAGCCTATGAGCAGATCTTAAATGGACCAATAGATTATTTCAGTTATGGAGCAGCAAAAGCACATTCTTGTAACATTAAAGAGAAAATGGTTTTTGACCTCTGCATCTAATGGTTTAGAAGATCCACTAAAATGCTATTAGGACCTCTATAAAAGCAGTAGCAAATTTCAAAATCAATTAAAATAAATCCAGCAGAGTGAAGCTAAAACTGAAATGATAACTTTGTTTCCTACATCTTGTACTTCTTCTTGTTGCACCACATTTCAATCAGCTGATTTTTGGGGTTTGATTACATGGAACACACTTTATAATTATTGCAAAGGTTTGTATATTCCCAGAAACATCTCAACAAATGCAGCATTCATATTAGATCCTATGCTATGAGATGCTCAGAAAACAATGGCTTTTCGAGTTAGAATTCTAATTTCAGGAGGTTTTCTTATAATAATTGCAAGACTTTATAAAACATAGAAAAAGAATTATAGCTAGAAATCAGAAAGTAAGTTGGATAAGCCATCTGCTGCTCAGTGGCCAGTCTAATTACTATCAGCAATACAAGCAGATAACGTATTTTGAAACATATTCCTTTAGTTTGTTTGTGTATTCAAACAATAAAGGATTATGTTAACAAATTAAATTCATTTACACAGTTTTTTATTTATTAGATTTGGAATTCGGAAGTTCCCTCCTCATTAAAGGGGAATGTACATAGTGAATGCATGTAAGCCCCTTTAACACATTAAGCATTTTTTACTGAAATGTGCTTAGAGAAGATAGATAATTGTGGATGTTGTATCATAGTTGCAGATGGTTCTGGATCAGTGCAAGCATCAGGCACACACAGCTGGTGTTGGATATTAGGTAAAAAGTAATATGGTTTTATTATTAATTTATCATGCCTTTTTATTTTTCTAAACAATATTGTTAAAAACTTTTTTTTCTCCTAATTTGTTCTTTTTTATCCATTACTGTGTTTCCTTATATCATTAGACCATTAGTCGCCAGCTGCTATAATATTACAGAAATAACATTTTAACTGTCAGCCTTTAGTAGTGTCTAAATCACAAAAATACAGAACCAGTTTAACACTTAGAGGTGTCTATTTTTCTAGAAAGAAAAAATAGGTTTAGTTTTTTTGGCTCATCAGATCAAAACCCATCATCTCGTGTTAGATGAGTGTTACATTTGCTTCTGACAGCCACCTTCTGTCTGTGTTTCGGAACAAATTAATACCCCCCACAATTGTATCTTCTTTTTCCTCACATGCTTTTAAAGCTTCTGTGACCATGTAAAGAATATAAGAAGATTAATAGGATAACTGCTACTGGGCTCTTTTTTTTATTTTTTTTATTTATTTATTTTTTTACATATGTGTTAAATTACAGAGACTGTAGAAGATGATGTGTTGTGCTAATGCAAACTGGAACCCAGAAAACATTATGCAGCCTTATTTCCCAGCACTGTAGGAAAAAGTGCTATTATCCCTAAAATAATAGGAAAAAACTAAAAATGTGCCATAAAATGAAAGGATCATGAAAAGATCATGCTTTGCGTTTTAACTATGTAAGTAGAGGACACCATAACTGACTACCAAGGCTGATTTCAGTCTGCACGGATAATACAATAAGATGAGTTTATTAATTGTGACAGCTTTCAGCCAGAACGGCTTCCTCCCTCCATTGTGATGTTAGATTAGATATGCCAGAATCAATGTCTGAACAAGACTCCTGTCAGTCTTCAGCAGGCTTGGATATCTTATCTTTCCAGATTGATTAACAGGATGTCAACAAAAAAATTTATGTGTGGCCAATCTGGATTTACAGTATGGGACACAGAAGCCCTAAATGCACTAGAAGAATGTGTGACTTTAATAATCTAGAAAGGATCTGTTAAAAGGTTTTAAACCATTTAAATTTTTTAAGGTTTTAGTGCTAAAATGCTCTTTGAATGGAAGGCAGTGTTAGTTATTCTATACAGGACAGCCTGCATAACAGATAGAATCTATAGATCCTAGCAGACAAAGCTTGCTTTTATATATATATATATATATATATATATATATATATATATATATATATATATATATATATATATATATATATATATATATATATATATATATATATATATATATATATATATTACATAAGCATCATGGAAATGTATGTCTGAGATTGCTGGAGGTGCTACTAACATCATGACATTTAAAAAGTTTGGCTTTTATAACAATAACACTCTTCAATGGAAGAGAAAAATGAAAATTAAGTAAAGTATTTGACTCTCTCAAAAAGGAAATGTAGTCAACAAAGAGCCTCTGGCTGTGTGTTCACAGGAATCTGTAAGTATTTAATGGAAAGTTATGTAGAAGGAGAATGTGGTAGAAAAATGTACACAAACAGCAGGGATTACCTTCAGCCATGTGAGGGAAAAAATGCTTTTAAGGTATTCTACCTAATAGAGCTGTACCTGTACAACCCATCAAACAATAATTGCCCCCATAGTAAAGGTATTTAAAAAGCTTTAAAGCCTTAATCAATATATTGCTTTCCCTCTCCTTCCTGTTTAGTCTGTGCAATTTATTAAGATTCACTCATGAAAGAAATCACAGTCTGGTCACAGTCCTCACAGTTTAGTCTAATTAACAACATAGCAGTTCTGGGCTCATGAACAGTCATGAGATGGCAAATGGACAAAGGATGAGCTTAGAATAAACAGCAAAGCTTTAAGGATTGCTTGTGTGCACACAATGAAAAGAAAATCAATGAGATTTCAGCTGATTGTTTCACATGGCTTATAAAACATAGATGAAAAGCAATATTGCATCAAAACACAGATGAAGTAAAGAAAAGATTATTTATCTGCCTCCCAATCTGACAAAAGATTGATATCACAGCTGAGGGCTGTGAGGGAGAAACTCATCGGCAGTCAGTCACTACAGCAACATGGAGGGTAGTTTGTCAAAGTCCTGTCAGTTCATGGGTCAAATCTGCGGTGAGGGATTTCCTGCATGCAGCTATTTATTTCAATATTATTTTATGAAGCACTCTGGTGTTTATGGGGCAACTCTGCGACACATAGATGACTCACAGCTTCCTGTCTTAAGCAGACTAGTAGGGCTTTTAACCAAAAGCTATGATGGAAAGGTGTTTTTTTCTTCTTCCATTGACTAGGAAAAAAACAGCTATTAAAGCACCAACAGCAACCCAGGTAAAGAGAGATATGATAGAAATCTCACCAGATGAAGCATGTCATAGATGGAGTCTGCAGAGCATTTTCTGTGCTTGTTCCACTTCAGGACGGACATTGCTCAGTGCAGTTGGACTGTCAGCGTCAGGTAGAGTGCCGGAGAGGTAACTCCAGGTTTTCTAAAAGTCAAGTCTACACTGTGCCTTTGGAACACATTTCTTCGCCCCCTTTTTGTCTTTCCTGATTTAAAAAAAGAAGGTGCTGTGGTCCTTGAGTGAAGCTGCACAGCCTCCTCCTCTCCGCCTACCAGCACTTACAGCCTTCCAGCTCCCCCTCTTTTGCGCCTTCACAGTCTGCCTTAGCTCTGCCACTAACATTCTCCTGTTTTCTCTCTCTGCCTTTCTCTCTTATTTACAGGCTGGGTAAACTTGGGCACACAGGGTGACTATGAGGATGTGTCCAGCTCTTGCAACATTGCAAATGACTTTTGATAATCCCCATTACTGAACCTATAGCAGAACAGTGCAAAGGAGTAGGAAGGAAGGAGTCACCTCCTCAAAGGTTGCAGTGGAGCAGGATTGGCTGGGTAAGCAACACAGCAGTAGAATATAAATGTGGGGTTAGATGAAGAGGGGAGCTGCAAACAAGCAGGCTTTGCAGGAGCAAAACACATGATAGGGAACCCTATTAATAACGTAACAAATCACATAAAATTAGGAGTTTGAACAGGCTAAAAACTTCTCTTAAATAATGACATCTGCATATATTCTATTTGTATTTGGTGTACAGGTAGAGAGTAGGATCTTAAAATATACTAATATAAAAAAGTCTGCTTTGATACTGTGGAAATATTTGCTAATGTAAAAGCTATTACACTCCAGATGAGTTATAGACAGAGGGGGGAATCGGTGAATATCCCTACGTTTATCCCTTGTACATTTGTGAAAGACAAACACAAAGCAGCCCTTTATGACCAAGTGGAAGTCATAAGACAGGTGATTTGAAGTTTTTTTAACACACAAAAAAAGGAAAAGTGTGTTATGCTTTTCTGTTCAATCCCTGTTGCGCTCCTTAGTTCTGTTCTGGGCTTTTTTTCAGTGTTTTCGTAAGATCTCCAGGGCCTTTACACAGATTTAAATTTACGATTTGATTACAGGCGCAGTGGTTAGCACTGCTGCCTTGCAGCAAGAAGGTTCTTGATTCGATTCCCAGCCCGGGGTCTTTCTGTATGAAGTTTGCATGTTCTCCCTGAGCATGCGTGTGTTTTCTCCGGGTACTCCGGTTTCCTCCCACAGTTAAAAAACATGCCTGTTAGGTTAATTGGTTTCTCTAAATCCTCCTTAGGTGTGAGTGTTTGTGTGAATGTTTGTCCTATTTGTCTCTGTGTTGCCCTGCGATGGACTGGCGACCTGTCCATGGTGGACCCGCCTCTCGCCCATTGACTGCTGGAGATAGGCACCAGCACCCCTCGCGACTCCACTCGGGATAAGCGTGTTAGAAAATGGATGGATGGATGGATTTGATTACATCAAAGAAAGATGGCCGCTCTCCTTATACAGGCAGTTCATAAATCACTTTCTGGGGTATGAGAGTAAAAACGGGTTAAAAAGAAACGGCTACCACATATCACAGAAATTGTCCTTTGTTGTTAGTCTGTCAGAAACCATACCAATAAAAAACGCTAAATCACACAGTTATGAAAACACAGAAAATTGAAAGCGTATGAATTCTCTCTTAAGCAGTAGTACATGTGTTTGTTATTGTTTATTTGCAAAATAAGTTATAAAATGAAGCATAATTACTTTAAGTAAAAAGAATTTGAAGCAACATAAAAGTAAAAAGAAACATGGCCTTATGTTGAATAAGAAGATTCTCACACGACGGGGGCTTATTTAGGACATAACCTGATGTGATGACTAATTAGAAAAAATTTAGCTATCAAGAAAAGTCTCAATAAAGTCCTTATAAAGTCTGCCTTTTTAAGGCTATTACTAAGAAAAAAAGACTCTGTAAATTAATCCTTTCTTAAACAGCAGTAGAAAGTTTTACTCTCCAAAAGCAACATAATAGAAATGTTCATTCTTTATTTTGTCAGTAATGTTTTCTATTTTTAACAAGTACACCTTTATCAACCTAATCCCATTTAAGTGCAGAATAAACACATTATAATTCAAGCTCAATGAAGACAAACATTTCTAACATCTTCTACTTTGAATGCTTTGCTGTATCCCAGTTTACTCTATAGTGCACTATTGCTTAGGCATTAAGGAGATGATTAATATTTAGGTATCATTAATTTTATGTTTTTTGAGACCACTGCGTACCTTTCTTTCTCTAAGACAACAGCAGCACCCATGAGTAAATCTGAATAAACACAGCAGAGCTTTCATAAAATGATTAAATGAGCCAGTAACAGGTGCTGACTCAAACTGTGCCAAAGAAAATGTTCACATGAGGTTTTGTTTTTTTTGTCTTTTTTCAAAACAGAAAGCTGAGCAGGGTTACTGTGAAGGACACGTAGCAAGCATCAAGCACTTGCTGTCAAACGTTTGCTGAAATCCTACCTTTCTGCACTCATCAAGCTCACTGAAGATCTCTGAATCATCATCCGGGCTGTCTCCACAGCTCTCCAGCAACAGTCCCACACCATCATCCAGAATCTCCTCTGAAGAAAAACAAAGCATACATTTGTTTTATGTTGTTTTCACAATAAAATATTACTGAAGTCATTATCTGGAAAGAATATTAACGAAAAATGTGTCCCTTTTTATCTTAACTTTAGTTTAGATTAAGGATACATATTGTTTTGTGATTGAAACTCCTAATTTTACCTACATAATGTGTTTGGGCCACTACAGTAAAGAACTATTCAAAATTTGTTGAAAATATGGAGAAAAACAAAAATAAAGTGTAAAATCATTCTTTATATTTTGGAGCATTTAGTACCTTTGAAAAACAAATTAACTAACATCCTGCATCGCAGTTACAGCCATATGTTCTAGAAAATACTTCAAAAACAGTAAATACATTTAAAGTGATATAAATCTAGTAACAGGTGGTGACACAGCTAATCTAGTATATCTTATAGCTAATATAAAATCAGGCTCTGCAGTAAACAGAAGATCCCGCCAAAATAAACAAAAAAATTATCTTCACATCCGTTAGTAGCCTCATTAACAAGACCCAGATCGCCCTCTGTAACTTCGGGGCACCCTACTCCAGGAGTAGGTAACCATCATTTTTACAATCATACCTAAAGTGTGGACTAGAAATAGGCTTTCGTTTAACATTTTTATTTCTGAACTTGAGGCCGTTTCAATGTCTACATTCAGTTTGGCCACACAGTTTTTTATATAAAAAAAACACCAGAGTGCTATAGAGAATTTTAAACATTGTTCTTTCTTAACTCAATCACCTCTGATTTTGCCACTAAATTTAATAAAAAAAAAAAAAAGGCTAAACAAAATTTTTGGAAGAAGCCTAATCCTTAAGTCTGTAGACTTTATCCATAAATCTAATTTAATACCTTTGGTTTATCTCCTATCCTGGGGACTAACCATAATCCTAACATTGGTGGATGACAAACTTCCACCTAAGGTAAGTAGATTTAATATGACTTCAATCGATTCTAGTCTGGTTCGACTTCAATTTAAGGACCGGCTTCCGGTGTGCACTTCTGGCAAGAAATGTAAAAATGGCAGTGCCCTGCCTATGCAGTATACTTCTCTTGGACACTTTTCCAGTTGGTGAGAAAAACAAAACAAAACAAAGGAGGACATATTGGCACATCTCTATACGTATAATATTCTGTTTTTTAAATCTGTTTTTTCTTGTCTTTTATTTTCAATAACTCCCAATGTGCTCTTCATATAGAATTTGTATTTGTTTATTCAAGATTTTATATATTCCTAAATTTATTTTGGTTAACTTGCTTGTCTATGTGTAGCAGCCTATCCAGACATGGCTGCTGGGAGTGGGGGTGCTGCAGCACCCCCTAGCGCAGTGGTTCCCAAAGATTTTCTTCTGGGCCCCCCTTTGGATTACAATAAAATTTCCATGCCCCCCCCCCAAAAAAAAAAAAATAAAAAAAAAAAGAATCAACTGGTCACACACATCGTTCAACCAGATATAATAAATCTATACACATATTTTGTTTTCAAACTCCACTGAAGTTTATTTCACACTTCAGGTTGCAACAAAACAAACTACACCATCTGTAGGAACACTTGTGTAACTGTATTTTTTTCATAGTTCTATACTGTAGATTAGAAGAGGATTCTTTGTTGTCTGTGTTATTTTAAACATATTTATTTTTTTTTTTTATTTGTAACAATATTTAACTTTGCTATAATCTATACATTAAAAAAGCCTCTGTGCAAAATGGAGTGAAAACATTTAACAGCTCCCTGAGAGTTTTTTCTTACTTTAATCCTCCCATCTTTTCAGTGGCTGTAGTGAGCCTGCTTTTTGCTGTAGATCTTCTCAAATCTGGGTTGCAGTGTCACAACTGTCCATTATGCTCAGTCAAGCAAGCGCTGTTTTTTTTTTTTTTTTCTTCATTCATCCATACCGCTTCCCGCGCCCCCCCTGCAATGGCATTGCGCCCCCCCTAGGGGGCGCACCCCACACTTTGGGAACCACTGCCCTAGCGGCAAGAGAGAGATTTTTAGAAAATGTACTAAAAATACTTTGTACAATGTATACATTTTAAATAAAATAAATTAATAATTATTAAACAAATGTATAATTTGTACTATTACGTGTAGTTGGATTGTTATTTAATTATTTTGAGGCCTAATCAACATAAGTTCTTGGAAATTACGTTCTCATGTGAAATGTCAAGCAAGCTAGTGGTTGCCGAAGAGGTATCGTACTCACAGCAGCTGAGTATATAAATTTAAATAGTCTAATGACAGAAACAGGGAGGAGATATGGCACAGACACACATTTCAGATTCGTCCGCTCATGAGAGACTTTATCTCCACGACCCCAGAGCGCACCTGAACATTTGCACATCTGTGACCAGGGTACCCTGCCTGTAACTCAAGGAAGAGCATGGGGCCGCTGAGCACTTTCATATCTATTAGCGCAGTTCAATGTAACTATAGTATTTTAGAGTGTTATTTTGATCCTGTGTTCTTTATGTAATGATGTGGAGAACTGCTCAATGACGTTAAAATATTATAATCTAATTATTTCCTTGTGGTTTGTGTAAAAGAATTTTGAAGCTAGCGTGTGACATAAACACAGTGACTAAGGTTAATGGCAGCTGAACAGATTTAGGTTGATATAGTGTTATTGTGAAGTTTAATTAATAGCGAATATATATTCACCTGAGAACTGATGATGTCTGTGTGTCTCTAACTATTTAATTATTTACTTTTATTGTATTTTAAATAGGCTCATAGGTCTTTTGTCCCCCTCAAAAAACTAATAACTTTTCACACTACTCCCTGTTCAAAATTACTTCCAGTGGCCCTGACAATAGATGTAAAAATGTATTGTTGCGGCAGAAACAACTTACCCTGTCGAATATTTTAAGAGACTTATAAGTAATTTTTACCTTGACTTTGGGAGAAGATATCGGTGTAAAGGTCTTCTGCTGCATCGGAGCGGCGCGGTGGAAGATAGCAAAGCTGACGCCGGTCCACAGAAGGCAGAGTGTTGACGGTCAAAGCTAGAGACACTTGAGAGAATGCAGTCTTCATGTCTGAGAAATTGAGACTGTGAGAGTCTTTTCCATTCAGTTGAAGAATTTCATCTCCGGCATTCAGACCTGCAGAAGAAATAATGCCATTTATAACATAATCTTCTTCGTTAATAATTTTTTATCAGCTTGTAATTGGGATCTATATTAAAGAAAATAATGATTTTAAGCATTAGTTACACAACTGTAGTAAATTTCTGAGCACTTTTATCTGCATATATTTGTTTTTAAATGGGACAGGTTTTCAGATTTTGAAAAAATACAGCTGTGCTTGAAGGTTTATATAGCCTCCCATTAAAGAGAATTATAAATTCACATTTATAATAAAAAAACGTGAAACTAAAAAAAAAGAAGCAATAAATACAAATGTATTAAATAATAATTTTGTAAGAATAAACATTTATTTAGAATTTTTATCAAAAAAATATGCGGCAAAAAAAAAACTGTCCCAGAGCTAAAATACCTTGCCCATGTGTGAATCAGCATACCTGTAGAAAAGTGCGGAAGTCTATATATATTCAGAATCAATGTCATGATTAAATTTTTTTATAATTTTCTTTTTATAATTTTTTTTGTCTATTTCAATTTATTTTACTAGCATCTGATTTTTTTTTTCTTTAAAGGAAGGGTTAAACTTTCAAGCACAACTGCATATTAGAACAGTTGATTATACCTTTTATTGATCTATAAGCTGCTATTGAAGTATTTTTCATTTTTCTTTCCAAGCATCCTAACCTGTACAAACTCATATTCTTAAATGTTCTAAAGCATTAATAAAATTAAGCCCAGTGTCAATGTGTTACAGGTGCTTATAAATAAAATAAAATCTGATAGAGGTGATTTGAAACGTAATATAAAACACAAGGTTATTTAAATTGCACGCTCTTTTCAAATTGCATTCTTTTCCACACAAGGTTTTTTAATGCTTTTTTTGAAATGCAAAGAAAGAAGTTTTTACTTTGTTTTATTTTCACAAATTTTTAAAAAAGTACAATGTTAGCATTAGCCTCAGATCCGCAGTCATACATGTTCAAAAATAACTGACCAATTAATTGGTTCATCATTAATTGATATTACCATAACAAGGTAAGTTCAAAAGTGGTTAAAATAAGAATACACTTTTTTTTGGCAAACAGATTTAAATTACTTTATCACTGGCAATGTTGGGTCAGTTCATAATTTAAATGAACAAGCTCAAAGTTCGGTTCATACAGCTGAAAATGAACTAGCTCAAGTTCAGAGTTCACTTTTTCAAAAAATGAAGTTCAAAAACCTATAAAGGAACTATTTCCCAGTTCATTTGGTAAATTAAGCCTCAGTCCTACACAATAGAATGTCATGTTTCACCCTTTAAATCTGTGATCATAATATATGTAAAAATATTGGAAAATACTGGATGCAGTCAAGGTAAAGTGTATGAGCAGTGAAGCCTTTCTCTACACAGAACTTCAGAAACATACAGGGACATTCAGGTTCTGCTGAAAAGAGCTGTATCAAAAATGATTTCATACATTCCAATTTCAGTAGCAGAAATTTCCCAATATAGCTAGGATACTTTAACTTGATGTGTCGCTTTAAACTTTAAAGGTATAGTGGAGGATGTTATTTTCCGGGTGGATCATCAAAATAAGTGGTCCTCCTAATTGTCAATCATTCTGGGGATATGTTTACATAAGGCCTACCTATGTGCTTTTCCCCATTTTGGACTAGTGCATGCTCTTGCACACGTTAAATAGGTGTTCCCTCTGGGCAGTGGGTACAGGGTTGTGCATGTGCAGCTTTTTTTAAAGTGGAGAGGCAGGTCTTTTAAAAAATTAATGAAAATCCCCCACTATACCTTTAAGTGAACGTGGCTGACATACAGACTTGTTTGTTAAGTCCCAGTGGGCACGATTTGCACAAAAACATGAGTTTTTTACCTTCCTAGTCTTCCTTTGTTAGTTCATAAAATTCTGCCAAACACCCTGCAAAACTGGCGTCAGAAATACCAGAAAATGAGTCTGAATCGCAAAGACTAGTACTAGCAGTAGACATACATGTCTGTCACGCTGTTTGCCGTAATAAGTGGCGCAAAACTTGCCGTTATCCAATGAAAAGTGTCGTTATCAATGAAAAGCGAATATCAGCTGTGTGTGTCACTCATTATTCTCAGGGTGAACATCACCCTCATTCACGTTCATTACTTCAAAACTGATCCGTATGAACATATTTAGTGAACGCCGCTCATTGGACACGTTCATGCATAACACTGATTACTGATATGTGTCATCTTTATAAAAAATTAGGTTCACCAAAAGAAATAAACTGTAGTAAACAAACCCTTTGCAAAGGCTAATCCCCCAGCCTTCACATCAGTGATGTAAAGTTGTTGAACTCCATCCTCCTCCACCACTGAGATAGAAAACCCTGATGCAGAAAAAGGAAAGACAGAAAACATTCTTAAAAAGCAAAACAGATGACACAGTCTATAATGCCACTCCTGTCAAGGTTGAAAAAATTCAATTTATTCTGCAAAGAAACAAAAGTGAGAGACTTAAAGTCTGCATTTCAAAATAAAAAGTGTTCTTACCATAACCAATCATACAGGATTCATCTCTGTCAAACTGGATTACTTTTGTTATCTTAGAGCAGAGCTCAATTTCTTTGTACAACTGTGAAGAAAAAAAAAGAAGTTATTATATAAATCCCGAGGCTCTTTCTAACTTTAGTCATAGAGTGGTGGGCGAATTATTGACAGCAGGAAAAGAGAGCATTCATTTTCTTCCTTCTCACACAAAGCATAACGAACAATATCTTGACAGAAATGTTGTAAATATAAAAGGATCTGAATTCACTGTAAAGAAAAAAAGAAGAAGAAAGGCTCTATGTTCATATCTTGGAGCTTGAACTTTTCATAAAGTTCATTTAAACCTCTGATTTTTGTTTTCCCATGCAGTTTCTTATACAGCTATATAGTTTAAAGCTCAATTTCTTAAGTTGACAGTGTAAACTCTAACAGGATGAAAGCAAAGAGACTATAAAAGACAAGAAGTTAAATACACTACCAAGTCGTATATATCCTCTTCTGGCTTTGGAATGTAGAATTGCACTTGGTTTTCTATGAAGAATTTAAGTCTCAAGTAGTGTTTGGTTGGGTCCAGCTCATGGGTCTGCAAATAGAAAAAGAACTCAGTATTTAATGCCAAAGCAAAAAAATTTTTTTTTCTAAAAATTTAAACGTTGCACTGCACTGCATGCATCTACAAAAATACCAATTCAAAACCGTATCTAAGGCCTTGTTCTGTTACCTTGCATATAGATTCAAGAACACACAGTGCAGAGTCTCCTGGCTGGATAGTGTTTAACACAGGTTGGTCATTTGGCAGACAGACCCAGGAAGGAGTGAGGTGGTCGGGGACCCACATGTCACTGTCAACATTGGCTCGAGGAAGACTTTTCACACTTCCGTCTTCGGATTTCTTAAAACACAGATAAAAAATGATGGGTAAACACTATACCAACAGCTGTTGAGTTAAAGTTTAGATAAACCTTCTTATCTAACTAAAACTAAATGATAAAATAATTTTTTTTTCCAAAATTTAACTCAAGATGACTATTAACTGATTAATTCACTCACAGTGAAGCATTTCAGCTGCTTTTCTTCAGTAAATTATTCTGATTATTGCCTAAAAACGTTTTAAGCAATTAGGCAGACATAATTATAATATTGAAGCTAACACTATCGTAGAAAAGAATTCTCACTGACATCCTCCACATGGAAAGCCAAAAAAACAGGAAATCGCTAAACGAGTTAGTAATTGAGGGAATGCTACAGTATATATATCCAATATTTAAATATTACTATTATTAAATTTTATATATATATATATATATATATATATATATATATATATATATATATATATATATATATATATATATATATATATATATATATATATATATATATATATATATATATATATATGTATATATAAAAACTGGAAGGAAAATGTGATGTAGAAGATCAGGAACACAAAAGAGGGACTATTATAATCTGAAAAGGATTATTAGGAAAAACTATTCAAGGATTTCTAGGAAATTCACAAGCAAAGACAGCAGCTGAAGTCACAGATTTAATAGCAAACACACAGGGTTACAAAACTAATATTTCTGATCAGTTCATATTCCTAGACTATAAAATAAAATATGCATGTAGCATTGTATCTGGGCTGGAGGAAAAAAATGGCAGGACTGGTTTGCACTGAAAATACATTGTAGTAAAATTATTTTTTAATGTGCTGTTACCAAATAATAATGTAGTTAAGTTCCACATATATGTGGCCTTTACTTTAAAGAACAGTTTGTGTTAACAAAGAGCAAGTGCTTACTGTGTTTTCCTTTACAGAATCCACAAAAACACGATCTACTGGCTTTTTCTCTGGCTCTTCATCAGCAAACACCTGTGGGACCAAAAAGGAAGAGATGTTAGAGTGACCTCGGGCAGAATAGTGAAGGGCTATTTAAACAAAAATAGGCCAAAAGAAGCTAAATCTGTGCAGCTAACTTAGAAGAACATAGAAATCACTATCAAGTGAAGGAGGAGCAAACCGACCTGGCTAACCGTAGGGTGGGCTTTCGTTTTCTTCTTTGAGGTAGTGTCTACACCCCAGAGGGAGGAAAACCTGCTTTTGCGTTTGCTGCAGGAATGAGACATTGCTTGCGTTCTGCGTCTCACTCCGCTCTCTGTTCGAGCTGCCACCTGCAAACACAAAAAATGAATCTTATTAAATATACTTTTCTTATAAAAAGCAATAACAACACATTTCATATTGAGTACCTTTAATCAGGAACCTCAGGCATAAAAAAACAAAGATTAAAATGGCATAAACAGAAGGAGAAAAAAGAATGGACACCCACACACTCATGGCAGAGTTAGTCAGTTTATTCTCTCCTGATACAGAGAACATAGTTTGTAAGCTTTCAAACCTTTCAAATGCCCATACATAGATTTTTGTGAATGTCAGGATAGGCAAATCAGATGAGTGAAACAGTTCTTAAACTCTCCTTAAACCACAAACTGCTTTTAAACAGCTTAAACACCCACCAGCCCAAGGGCACTGCGTCGGTGGTTATAGAAGAAATAGCACCTGAATGATGTCTAAAAATCAAACTGATGTTTTTTTCTCTGCAACTCTTCCTTCTATATTTGGAGTTCCTAACCTTGCTGTAGCCGTAGGAGGCTGGTACACAGCTAAAGCCTATAAAACTGGGATCATTGTGATACTCAAGTAGCTAAATAGTAATCACGGCATAAAAATGTATTCTCTAAGCCAGCTGGTGTGCCAGATGGGTCATCAAGTTAACTCCAAAGTATTTTATGAAGGAAAATGGACAGATTAATTAAAACAATCTTCGAATTTGTATTAACTTGAATAAGAATTAAACTAGAACTGCTGACATTTGATGTGTTGTTGTTGAATATCGATTAATCCAAATTTTCTCAATGACTTTCTATTTTTAACATGATATAGCTATGTCAGGTTTAGGCATAAAAACACCTAATAGGTAAATATGGCCAATTATGTAACTTCTAAGAAGAAAGTTTAAATACATGGCACTTTCTTTTAATGTTAAAATCTTTTGGCATGTATGCGAGTAAAAAATAAGGCAGGGTAACATAGCAGAAGTTAGTTAAAGTAAAAATAAGACACATAGAGGATATCTACCAGTGCATGGAAGGAAGAGACCGAAAATATGCCCAGTCTGCCCATTGTCAGCTTGGTGGGGCGAGAGGCGAAGGCCAAGAGGCGCTTAGGGTTGGGCAGCTCTCCTCCTTGCAAGCTGGCCAGGTAGCATCTAAAGCGAAACAGATCCATGTGAAACTGCTCCAGGTTCTGCTCCCACAAGAAGATCTGTGGATCGAAAGAGAAACAACAACACATCCATTTAATTTGTCAACTTTAGATCAAGAGAGAGCATCTTTTATTACCCTGAAGCTTTGCTAGCAGTTTACTCAAAGCAGTCTGCACTCTGTGCCAAATAGTTAAATGTTTACTGGGCCATTAAGGCAGAACATTGTGATTATTTAGTGGGCCGTCCCCTCCCAGTCACGGTCCTGAGCTGGTGTTTGGAAAAGGCCTCTGCCATTGCTATGGGAGAAAGTTCTGTTTTACTGCCAAGTACCCCAGAAACTGAGAAACAATACACATTCCATGGCAGACAGAAGGAGAGGGTGATTTATTTTCTGGAGGGGCAGCCCTGTATCCATTCAGTTCAGCAAAATGTTTCTACCTAACATTGCCAAAGAGTACGGCTTGAAGAATGCACCACCTAACTGATTGAACAAAGGCCATTTGATGTCCCTCTCTGTAAATAATCCTATTAAACATATTGGGAGCTTTTAAATTAAAAGAGACTATGGCTCAGTTTAGCAGTGTCCACAACATATGAAATAAAGTGTGTACCGCCACCAGCAATTCAGACAACAGCTCTGATAATCCTTTATCTAAAGCCCATATGCGACTGCTTCTCTACCATATTTTTAATAACAAACAAACCTGTTCAACAAGGATTGTAAAACTAATTTTCTAATTTTTTTAATTGCTAGTACAATGTCTGCCCATATGGTAATACTAGGAAATTATTTAAATGCATCAATCGCAATAAATATACATTTGTACTTTTAAAGTATTTTAATAACATCAATTATTTGAAACATATCTTGTATTTTTTCAGAACTACTCTATTATTTTTTTATTAATATATCTTAAATCCCTCGTTTCCAGTGCATGAAGTGGTGCAGCTGTGCAGCGCCGTTGCAACTGGTCAAAGCGACTAGTCAGTCAGAGCAGTACCAATGTGTGCCAAGGTGCGTTTTGGGTGTTCTGTAAAATATGTGGCTATTCTACTGCATCAATCTAGAGCTGCACTGATTGTTCAGGATGGAAGGCAGTTCATGAAAAGCAAATAAGGTCAGGGTAAGTTTACCAGGGAACTGTTAGGATTCCAGTTAGTATGTGGAATCTTTTGTTTGTCTTCCTTCCACCACCAGGTGGCGCCTGGTTCTAGTTGGTCTCCTCACACACCTGCGGATGGTTACTTCATTACCGGAGGACTCTTAAGCTGCTGACTGCCACTACCTCGACACCAGAGTATTTGCCAGTTTTGGGTACTCTAGCCAAGCTGATTTTTGCCAAACTGAGTCAAACTGAATTTTTTTCTACCTGAGTTTTAACCTTGCTGTTTTTGTCTTTGCCTCTCAGCAGGAAGTCATCCTGCAAACTGGATGTTTTGGACCTTCTCCCCCCTGGAAGGATTTTCTGAGCATCAAGTTGAGCTGAGGATTCAAGCTAGTGGTTTGAATCTACTTTTCCCTAAGGATTTTCGTCTCTCTGAGCAGGGGTTTCATCTCCACAAGAAACCGTTCAAGTACCGCAGGAAAACTAAGTGGCAGTCAGCTCCTCCATTCCTTAACGAAAAACCACAGCCTGGGTAAACCTTGTCCGCCCTCCAACGAGCAAGTCATTCACTGGAACAACCCACACCGACTGGATTCAACAAGAGACACCTTTTTCTAGAAACGTGAGTCCTGTTGCTTTAATTCCCTTCTTCAAATCGAAGACACAAATTTCCCACTGAGCCTGAACTAACCGCAGAATCTTCACTTTTCTGTCCCGGTTCGACAGTGTTCAGAGCAGCACTGGACTCCTCTCAACCTACTCTTAATAAAACCTGTTAAACTTTTTTCTGGACTCTCTGTTTGGTCTTCTGCATGTGGGTCAAAGCTTTAGATAAAATCATGACAGGAATAGCTACATGTGCAGATTGTGAATCATGTTGAGGAAAAATTAATTAAAAAAATACCATAATCAGTGAATATTGAATTAAAAACCTGACTGAAAAACCAATTATTTGAACTCAAGTACTCATGATAGTTCTGTAGAAAGCAAGGTAAGGTGATTAGATTAAGAGCAGGCGCACGAGTTGCAGTTATTACTGGCCAAATAACTTCTTTACAGCTTTAATGTTCCATTTAAAGCCTAAACATTGGCGTAGTGGGATGATGGAGTCCTGGCTGGATCCAGGTCCAACTGTGCAGAGTCACTCCACTCTGCAGCCATGCCATGCCATGCTGCTTACCCACCACTTCCCCATCCAGTGGAACCCCTCAGCCCAATTTGGTTTACTTTAGGCCAAATTGACTGCACAGTAAAAAACAAGTCAGCCTTTCAAAAACATTTTGGTTTTATGTATTAAAAAAAAAGAAAAAAGTACAGTTTTAAATTATATATTTTGTTTTAAAAAGCACAAATTATTTTCATGTATTATTTTTGGAACAACTTTTAAAAAACTGTGACAAAAAATTATCTTCCCTTTCTTTCATTCTGTTTGATCGGTAATAGAAGCTATTATATATTTAATCAAATTTCCCAAAATAAAAGCCTTGTTTAAGGTTAAACTGCAACTACTGAAAGAACAGAGTGTGTGAACTGATCAAAGTTGAAGGCACCAGCTAATGGGGTAAAAGCCAACAATCCATCACAGTGACTGGAGTGCCAGAGCACATCATGAAACCTACTTGTTCCAGAATTGTCTTCCTCTTCTTGGTGTCAGTGACAGCTGACAGTTGCATCTCTCCCATCTTCTTCATCTTTTCATCCATGTCGATCTTCTGCTCTAGTTTCTTGATTTCAGCACGGAGCAGCCGAACGGTGTCCTCTCTGTGATGCTGGCGAGCAACAGCAGTAGCGCATGCTGAGTGGATGGCTGTGATCCAGTTTTCTAGCTCTGTCTGGCTGCAGGTCTTCATGGGGACAGAAAGTCGCAGTTTAGAAGCTAAGCATGTTGACATACCGTGCCTTGCAAAAAGTATTTATATTCATTTATTTTTCTTTATTTGTTTACATAAACACAAATTAAATTCAATGTGATCAACAAAAAGATAAGGAATATTTTTGGTTTTTGTTAAATAATAAAGGCCAGAATGGCTATATCTACAAGCGCTGATCCGTTTTCATTTCTGTCATAGTGGCTGGGTAGAATATCCCTCTGTGTGGAATATCTGGGTAACATACATTCTTGCATAAAGTTCAGCTTTAAATCCATAGATTTTTTTTCTATCTCAAAATGATATTTTATTAATAGTAATATTTCATAAGAATACTATTTTGTCTGCCATTTCCTAAAGATGCCCTTGTGGCCCTACTTTAAAAAGCACTCTTCTGGTCCATCCGTTATTGGGAAAAAGATAGAAAAACTGCAAATCTACTATAGCACTTGCTATCTAACCTGACAGTCCAGGAAAGAAGAGCATTAATTGGAGAAGCAGCCAGAAGAACCACGGTAAACAAAAAAAGCCTTTTTGGAGAGAAAACTGCACTATGTACAAAAAAAGAGCACAGTAGCACTTATAATTCCATTGTTGAAAGAAAGCCTACTAGCAGCTGGCCACAAAGTATTTGAGACAGCACAGATAAGCAGATAATGAATGTGTAATGGTCTGAGGGATGGGGAGCTTACTCTGTGTACATAGTGGTCTCAGGATGCTTAAGAGCTAAATACAATTTTGTAAAAAAAAAAAACTTTCAAGACTGCAAAAGGCAGAAATATAATATGTAGAGGTTTATCACATCTAAGTTAATAGACCATAAGAAGTTTGGGTTCAAACATGACAAAATGTAGGATATTAAGTAATTATTTCCCCAAATACACAACCCTCTGAAAACCGATCCATGCCGAGGTTGGACCGAACTTGGATGAGTTAACCGTGCTGAGCTTGGTTCCTTACAACCGTTGACACATCAAGCTAGCACTGTTCCTCGCTTCCCAGTGACAATATACGGCACTACTGCTCTCTAGCAGGAAAACTTTGTGATTATGTTTTGTTCTTTCCAAAATTGCCTGGATAGAGTCTTCTGCCCAAATTGCAATAAGAGCCTCAGTCTCAATGTCATCCCATGACGCACAATGCTCTTTTGAAGCCATTAAAACTGTAGAGTTGAGAAGATGTCGATATTTGTTTACAGTTCTTCTTCTGTTTTGTGGCGGTTAGCGAGCAACTGACTAATGTGCATTACTGCCAACTACCGAAAGCAGACTGTCAAGGGGAGATGACACGGTCTGCTCATTCACAATTGGTATCAGAGAACCGAGCCACTATTGAACCGCACCAAGCCCTACTGTTGAACTAGTAGCATATTACGGGGTTCGGTTGTGTCTGGCACATCTGGTGCATTCTTAGTTTGCGTGCCATTTACGCTCAACAGTTAACTTGGTTACCGTGCTTGGACCACTCTTGGCACGGTTTCAAAATGGTACTGTGAATGGGGCTTATGTGAAGCATTGATCTGCCTCTAAGTGCTTACATTACATTAAAGCACAGACTTGTTGTCCAGGACCTTTATGGAAACAGGAATCATTTAAATATTATGACTTTCATTATGGACTAAATGACTGGGTAAACAGAAACATTTTCTTACCTGGAAGAGATAAGCATCACCCAAAGAATTGCTGAGGCAGAACACAAAGTCTTTTTTGGGATGCTCTGGCACAGCTTGGACAATACTGTTCTCTACCCATATGGCATGCTTGGGAATACTGTTGTTGTCAATAGCTGAACGGCCATCAGTGTCATAAAAAAAGAGAGTACAGCCTGAAAAAAACAAAAAAAAAAACACCCAAATGTTTGTTTTATTATATAACATACTTGCTTGTTCCAGGCTTACTGAAGTATCAACAGAAATCCTTTCTGTTTTCTTTAAAAGCCCAACTTGCTTCAGCAATTTACTTCTGCTCTCCAGTGGCCAAGATTAAGAAGTGCAGCAGTCCTGACATGTTTTCTACTTTAAAACACCATCATATATGATACATATGAATGATGTATGTATATTAAAGCACATTATGAACTAGCAACATTAAGGTTTGTACATGTCTTAATCTAAACATATTGATAATATACAGTTTAAACCGGTTCACACACACTATATACTAAAAGGAGGGTTTGAATTAGGTACAATTTCTGGATGCCTGAAGTTGCTACTTATATCTATCTATTAAAACACATTAATTTAATGTCTATCTATCTTACAATTGAGGTAAAAGATAGATTCTGTGTCCCAGAGATGAACACTTTTAGGCTTGCAAGTCTTGCCAGTGACAAATAAAGGAGTGGCAGTGTCATGGTGTAGAGGTTTTTACTGCGTGATGCACAGGTCTGCTTTATAAAATCAATGGAATTAGAACAAATAAAAAACATTAGGCATGAATAAGAAAACAAAATATTTAGATATTGAAGTTAAAGCTTGGTTGCAAATGGATTTTCCGGAATGGACTGAGACCTTACGAATGCTCCAAATTGAGGCACAAGGTGGCTTAAGACAGTCACTGTTTTACAGTAGACATACAGCCCTGATCTCACTCTCTTCAAAAAGAGGTTCACAAACTTGTTATAACATAAATACAAGGTTTTCTGAATATCTTTTAAAAAACTGATATTTTTGTAATAGTAGTACAAGACAAAAAGCATACCTTTTGCTTAAAAGTGATTGTGGTGTAAGTAAAAATAAATGAATAAAAACAGTAGTCCTCTAGATGTGGGAAATCTTAATAGGAAAGTCAAAAGTTTTTCAGAGTGCCTATCACAGCAGCCAAAGTACCACCAGTGGTGCATGTACCACACTTGTGTGGTACAGAGCTGAAAAATGTGTGTGAGTAACACACCAACAAACTTGAGTCAGTATGCCTGTTCAGTCAGGGTACAATGAGACAAAATGCTTTCTAACTATTGCTAGAAGCCTGCTGAAGGATTCTCCAAAATAACTGATCCAAATGTGCTGTTTAAAGGCAACCTATTGGTAAACTATTGTACATTATGGCATTTATTAAAAAGAAATAATTTTGGAACAGATCTAAAATTTTTAAACTGAGTTATATTCTAATAGTGAAAATGAAACACATATGTGTTTTTATAAAATATGTGTAAACTTCTAAAGTCTGCTGTAATATTAAAAGTGTTGTTTAGTGCAGTGTACTTCTGATGTAACACTGTGTTTGAACACACCTTTCAAGGACACCCAGTAAGTCTTCCACTTGCGTCTTGTGGCAGATTCAACTTTCTTGTTCTTTTTGTGCACAAGGAAGTTCTTAACAGCAAGTTTCCCCGCTTTGCGCACCATCCCCTGGACAACGCTGAGCAACAAATCAGACTGGTAGGCAGAGCTCATGGTGCTCTGCTCATCGCTCAGGGCGGAGCCAGCTTCCTCCAAGCTCTCCGTCTGGCAGGAACTCATTTGAAGTTCTTGACGGAAGTTCTCGTAAACCCCCTGCACACCCTCGCTGGCACCGCCGCCACTGCTGCTGCCGCTGTCACTGCCAACGAGCACGCTCCTTCCATGCATGGAACAGACAGAGAAGGAGGCGGACATTGTCTTGTAGCGCCGAGGCTGGTGCTCTACCTCCAACATCACCCCATCGATTCCGCTGTCTTCATATTCGCTGCCATCCCCGGCCGTGACATCCTGGAATGTGGCATAGGTACAAGGCAGGTGAGGTACCATTGCAAGCACGTTTTCTGCATCTCCAAGAAGCCAGCAGGTAAACAAAAAAATATCATTAACTACAGCTCAGAAACATCAGTAGATACGTGACAGATATTTTCCTAAAGAGGATTTTAGACATCTGAGTCTACTAAGGCTAAAGTTAAGTCTAGACAGCTCAATGCAAAGATTCTGCTTAAAACTGATGAACAGCAGGGTTTCTGCTGCTGCAGAAACGAAGCCTGCCCTCCCCATGGCACCATAAGGTCTGCCCTCTCCTCTCTTCCTCATAGGGCCAAAGGCTCCCGGGAGATGAAGGGGTATACACAGAGAGTGGTATCTCCAGCTGGTCACATGACCTAATCATGCGCTCCTGAGCTCCATTCAACAACGTCGACGGTGCCCTGTCATGACAGGGGCCACCACACACTCTTTACTGTTACACTCTTCCACAGGCCTAGCCTTATTATCATAACAAAGGCCTGGGATATTTCTAAAAGGGAGTAACTTTAATCTGTGCTCCCTCCTTTCTCTCCAGTCTCCTTTCCCAGGAAAACAATGGATTCATCAGGGATGAGATACAGAATTCTCAGAAATATAAAGGTTTAAAAAAATATTTAAAAAATAATAATGTGGATTTTATTGACTTCAATTGTTCTGCACTGTCCTTAAGTTTTGCATATCAATTAGCAAATATAATTACACATTTATTCCCTTTTACATATTTTAGTAAGATTTTTGAGACATCTTTTCAGATAAATATTACATTAATGATGAATTGAGAAAATATGAGAAAAGTTAATTTCACTTAAAACAAGTAATATGTGCCACTTTAAGCAGCAACATTTCCATTAAACCTTTTCACTTATTTATAATGCTGTAAATTCAAGTTTTCTACTCAGATATGCTACAGTGGAGACTTGAGAGTGAATGGCCTATTAAAGCTTTTTCACATCATTTAAATTTTTACATTGACTTGGTTACTTGGAAGGTTGCATTTTGGTTTAGCACAGTTAAGGACAGTGGAGCTCTTTGGATCACTAAGGTGCCAGACAGTTAATTAATGTTGTCTGCCATCTTATTCATATTAATATATTACTATTTTACTTGGAGTTTTACGTTTTTGACAAGAGCCAAATTGATGAAAAGGATGAAAATGAAAGCATGATGTCCAGACTCCACCAGTTAGGCACCAGACCATCACACTACCACCACTATTACTGACGTCAGGGAGGTTTTCTTTTTATTAAAAAATTGTGCTGATTTTAGGCCAGTTTTAACAGGACACATACCTTCTAAAAAGTTTAACTTTTGTTTATTCTGTCCACTAAATATTTTACAAAAAATTTTGGAGACAATCTAGATGTTTTTACCATTGTGAGGACGAATTTTGTTTTTATTTTGGCCAACAGTGGAGTGCATTATATGTTTGAGGTATTTTGTGAGTTCATGGAAGTGTCTTCAGATCATTTTCAGAATAATTTAAATATATCATCCACACCTGGAGAGATTCATCATTGCTCCCTGCCTATTCCAATAGTGGATAATGGTTGTCACTGGAGTTTGCTGGTGTCCCATTGACTTACTTTAACATTTCTTTAGATTGGGTCTTAATGTAAGGTCATTTGCTCTATACAATGATTCTGTTTGAGTGATTTCTTAATCCGATAGATCCCACAGTACTTAGGCCTGTATATAACCATTAAAAATAAACTTTCCCAGAAAATGTTTATAATGACAGTTCTATCAGCATTTAACAAGAAGGGTTGATTGCCTCTTCAAAAGGGTTGGTTTGGAGAGCTTCTATTACATTATCATTAAACAAATCATGACATTAAAGCTGCATTTTGTATTTGATAGTTAATATTTGTCAAATATAAAAATTGTTCACTGAAGTTAATTGAACCAACATATTCCAGGAAAGGGGGGGAAACGGTTTCAAAGCACTATACATTAGCAGAGGGCAGCTTACCAATATTAAGATTTGCCAAGATTTTTAAAATACTAAACTTTAAAGTTTGTATAAAGACAGTTCCATAAAACACAGACAGTCATTGAGGGGAAACTAAAGAAGGACCGCATAGCTCTTAATTAAATTAAATTGAATCTTAAATTAATGTTGATTTGAAACCTAAGTAGACAAGCTAAGATTGGGCTGGCTGATAAACAGCTATCTAAAGTCTTCATCAAAGGAGACTTGTTTATTGGAATGTATTTGCTTGTTATTTTAATCACAATTTAAAGAGAAAAAATGTAAAACTAAATATTATTCTGAGCAATACAAGCTTTGCAAAATAGGCACTTCTTCCCTTGAAAGAGTAATTATAACTGTAGCATACAAACATGCTATAGAAATGATTTAATCTTTCCCTGTATAGATGATAGCTTTCAGGTCCATATTATATAAATACCTTAACACAAAAGTGCTGTAGTGTTTTCACTCAAGGTTAACCTACAATGAAAATCTCATACCTAGAAATTCTACAGGTTATAAAAAACAGTTTAATTCTAATCATATTTAAGAAATAAAAGGCCTAATATCACTAGAAATGCAAAAGATAAACTCCAAATAGATCTCACCTGTATAGTCTTTGCCCTCCTGCCCTGCATACTCGTGCACATTGTAGCTTGGAGGTTACTCAGGCCTTCAGACAGGCAGTGGGAACGTCGGCAGGGAAGAGTGTACGCGCCATATGCGGTTCCATCCTCCTCTGATGGTGACAGCATCTTACCATCCTCCTCTTCTCCCATAGACCTGTTGGTGTCGTTCCACTTGGCATAGCGGCCGTGGGTCTGCCTGGAGGCTGGGCTTGTGTTACTGTACAGTTCATCCAGTGAGTTTGACCTGTCTGCAGAGTCTGTCGGGCTGAACTGCATGTGGCCTTCACAGTCAGGGAATTCTCTCTCATTAGCCATGTCGATAATCTCTTCAGTGCTGGTTAAATTATCTTGACTGACATCGGACAGGGAGAATTCGAGGCTGTCATCTTGCCAGGTGTCTGCAGATTTTGATCTCTTTTTGAAGCTCACTGTCTCTCTGGAGCACTCTAAAGTCTGTTGGATATATTTCACCTCATTTGTGTACACTTCCTCATCCTGCGTCTCTTCCGCAGTAGGACCAGGTAAGGTTATGCGCATTGTATTCATATGCACTGAGGGACTGGCCAAATCATTATGAAAGGACACAGGGCGCAAACTCATGGCCACACGATCCACCCAAATGGGACTTCCAAAGTCTGGGAAGTTTCTTGTTTCGTTGAATGGTTCCAAACCATTATCAGCTAGGGATTGTGGGATGCTAGGCGTGCTACTCGAGCGAGTACTTGTCTCAGAATTTCTGTGCTCCATTTTGCCTGAGGAAGCATGGCGAGAGCGTCTAGACTGTTTGTTGGAAATGCGTAGAGACCGAGACATGTGCTTTCGTGACAAATAGCCCCGCCCGGTACTGTAGAGGGCATGTTCCCTGTTTTGGCTCTCAGTGTTCCCCATGATTTAGAGCCTGAATTGAAAAGAGTGAAACTTATCTATCCTGTATTTATAAACACTGTAATAAACAGGAACATTGTTGAACATTTTTGTCATACCTGCAGAGGAGTAAGGACTTTACTAGCATCTTGTCACTGAATCTTCTGAGAACTTAGGAGCTCAGCAGCTGATGCGATCCACAAAACCCTGAAAAATATGAATATAGATCACGCTTCACAGATTTTTTTTTGTGGGATGTGTTGATACATAACATTTGTTTAGACAAGATACCCTGTATGTTTACCATTTTAGTGCATTTAATGTAGGGAAATTATTTGCGGCGAATCATGTTTTGTAAATATTGACGGAATGCGAGCATCATGATAGTTTAAAAGCTCATGAAATAAAATGGTACAAACTGTACCAGCTTTAAACACCCTTTTTAAGATGGTGGTTTGAGTTTTGACTAGGTGGGCACCGATGACAGGTTTCTAGCCGATCACTGATTCCTGATCTTTAAAAATCCTGATGTGCCGATTCCGATTTTGACCGATGAAGATTTCCCTTTTATAATTGTTAGTTGTTATAAGATCACTAGACATTTCAATATTATGCGACTGAAAAAACATTAATCATTGCCCGTGAAACAATAGGGTGGACAACACCTTTCACCAAACTGTAGAGAAGCTGAGCAACACCTTTGGTGAAATACTTTTACACCCTCTTGGTAAAAAGGAGCGCTACTGCAGGTCATTCATCCCTGATGCCACCAGACTCTACAATGCAACACTACAATGGCAATAACTTGTGCAATGTATAATGTGCAATTACTATTAATACCCTGTGCAGTAACCTTTTTGTCTACATTTGACACGCAGTGCAATAACTATATATATATATATTATATATATATATATATATATATATATATATATATATAAATATCCATCTATATAAATAGGCATGTAAACACACTGTGCAATAACCCTGTATAATAATCCTGCTATAAAAAAAAAAAACCTTTCATTTGTGGACACAATGTATATACTATATATATACATATATATATATATATATATCCCATGCACCTCTTTCTTCCTTTGGCACATTCTTCTTCTTCTCCTTTGACTATTTAAGCTGATGTAACGAGTAAAGTTCTCCACTGTGGGATCAATAAATTCAATAAAAACTTAATAACTGCTTTATGGCATTGACAGTGGGTGTTTTTTTCAGCCCAATACAGAGATAGATCCGATTGGTGGAAAAGATCTGTTTCACCTATAAGTATCGGCCGATCACAGATCTTCCAAAATTAAGAAAATCAAGGCCAATCAATAAGCCGGATGATAAATCCCTAAATACTAGTTTTGACCCTCTCAAACAAGTGTTTGTCTATGCACCCCACTACCAATTGAAAGGGATTTACCGGTATATTAAAAAAAAGAACCCAAGAGTTTTCCACTAAAAATCCTAAATTATCCCTTTAAAGTAATAAAGTCAAAACAGTTAGCAGAAAAATAAATCTGTTTGCTGAAAGTTTGTTATACTTCCTCAAACTGATCACAAAACATATGTGAGTCAATGCAACTTCAACTGTTTAAGTTTCTTTAACAGTTGTATAAAAACCCACTTTTAACCACATTAACTAATAAACTCTAATGTTATGATTCAGTCCAGCCCTTTTAAAACTCACCAGTGACTGCAGTGAGAGGTTGAGTGAACATGAGTTATTTAAAGCTGAAGAGAACCAACATGTTGTTCAATTAGCATTTGTTCTTAGAAGCTACCCCCTGCTGCAAAGGGGGCCGAAAGCAAGAGGAGGGTTTTCACCATAACACTCAGACTTTATCTACCTTCCTCAAGGCAGGACAGCTCTCTCTGTTTTAAACCCAGAAACCATCAGATATGGGAGTGGAGATTACCCAGTGATCTCGTTCTCATCCCTCCTTGATGTTTCCTCACCTAGCATTAGGACACTGTAGGGGTTGCAGTGTCTTTCTATGCATGTGTGTAGCTGATGCATGTAAGTGAAAGAGACCAAACCGCCTGCTGCATGCACTCAAGCTTGCAGTTATTGGAGTGTTACATAAACTTTTGCTGACCTTGTTTTTCTACCTCGCTGCACAAATTTCTCTCTTAATTCTGTGCTCTAATTGCCACTTACTAGAACTGCACAGCTAATGTTTTAGATTATTAATGTGTTCATATAATGTGTTGAAAAAACAACAAAAAAGGAACAGACACAAAACGCCTGTAACATACACTCAGTGCAAAATGTAGGCTAGTCTATACTACTTCCTGCTCAAAGCTTTGTTTTTGTTTTGTGTTTTATTGGTTTGTATGTTAAAGCTACAGTGTGTAATAATTACAGGGATATAAAGTCAGAAATTTAATATATTATACATAACTATGTTATTTATCATCACCTATGAGCTCAGCCATTTAACCATAATATTTGCGTTGCCTTAGAATTCGTTATTTATAATTACATAGGAGCGGGTCTCGCAGCCATGGAGGCTGACATCTTTGCGCTACGGCAAGCGCAGAGGCAACAAACTAGCGATTGCGAGATCGCCCATTACGCTCGAAAATAACTACGGCAAGTTGAGAGAGATTAACTGAGACGGTACTGAACAGTAGATGGCAGTACTATGCCTGAGAAGCGTTTAGTCTGCCTGAAACCAAAGAAGAAGAAGAAGCAGGTATACTGCGCCTCAGTAACAAGAAAGGTGAACAAGGCGGCAGGCGCGAGTGACTTTGCAAACTGTTTGGCACTGTGTGGCCAAACATCAGACGAATGGAGGATCATGCCTACTCTGTATCACAACGAAAAGCGGCGGGCACCGAACCCCCGTCATCTAAGAAGCGGAAACACGACGAGAATAAACGCAAGCGTGACAAGAAACGACAAAAAACACGGATCAACATTGGCACGGCATTTACACGATGGAAGTCACTGATGGAGGAAAAAGGTTTTCAAAGTGACGCTCAAGTTGCCAGTTTTCTCTTGGACAGGTAATTAATCCTACACACACAATTGTCTAATATCACTGCAGTTTTTGGAGTACAGGATGCTCAGACCTGTCTAAAACAATAACATGCTGCGTGATGATGCTGTTACTCTCCAGTATACTTATTCAGCAACGTCCCTGACGTTTCACAGGTAATGATTCAGTAATTTTCTGTAAAATAATTTTCTGGATATATACCTCGGTTACTTCTCTCCGGCTCCTTTGGAGATCTTCAAGCCTTTCTTCCTCTGCTCTCACCCCGCTGGCTCCCCTCCCTCGCCTGGCCCTAGCTGCACGCCCACCCCGGCCTCTCTGCCCTCGCCCTCTTCCTCGCCTTGTAACCCCCGTGCCACAAACAAGACTTGGACTCTGTAAACGGGGAATATATATTCTTCCAGCGAACACAATCTTGCTGTTAAACTAATGACTACAATTCCTTCGTCTGTTTATATCACCATGCAAAGCAGCTCACCAAAACGTCACAACGATGTAGAAAAAATAACGGGTATATTTATTATCTTAAGTCTACATGAAATCTATACCCTACACAGACTAATGAAATACTATCTGTCAAATTATCTATGTAAACAAACCTCATCACTTGAGAAGGTAGGTGATTCCGACGTCGTGGAAGACATTTTGTCCCCTAACGCTTGCCGTACTGTTGGGGGGGAGAAGCGGTGGGGGGGAGACGTTCATTTTGCTGCAGTCTGCAGTCTGGACGTTAGATGTCGCTGAAAATTACACACTGTAGCTTTAAAACATTTATGATTTAGCAGATGCCATTACTGGAGAGAAAATACAGGATTTTTATTCTCTGAATGAAGAATCTGCTACTTGAACTAAAGCTCTAAAGCTGTATATTATATTGTATTGTATACTAAGATAGAATAGCCCAGGTCAGATCATATAAGGTGTCCAAACATAATGCACCGGTATTTAATAAAGCTTTTAAGTAATAATGTAATAATGATAAGTTTAAGTAGGAAAATGACACATTTATAATGAAAACCACCATCATCAATTACTGCATGAAACATTGTGTAGTTAGATGGCTATTAGTTTTTGTTTTTTGCACCTAAAGTAACAAATATCTACCAGAAAATGAGATTTAAAATAAAAACTGAAAACTGATTTTACATCAACTTCCCTTAACATGAAGATTTCTAGCCCTTTAGCTCTTCACACAATATTTTGATTCTAAAATGAGACCAATTGCATAATGTTTTTTTATTTTGATTAGATTTTTCTAATTCCATCTGATGTCCCATGGTAGTGGCAGCAACATGATGTAGGGATCTGTTTTCTGCAGGTATGGGCTCTGTGGTCAGAGTTAATAGGAAGACAGATGGAGCTAACCACAGGGCAATTCTGGAACAGAGGCTACAAAAGACTTTAGACTGAAGAAGTTCATTTTAAAAAGGATTTCCTCAAATATGACTGAATGTACAAACATCTGTCTAATATGTAGACTTGATATAAAAAATATGACTGAGGGAGGTAATTATACCACGAACTTAAAAGTTTCCATTTGAAATTGAAAATCTTTGGCTTTTTTTCTTCTGTCTCACAACTGCAAACTAGTTTCTTAGTCCATTGTATTAAGTCAAATCTCTAGAAGTATATGGTTGTAGTGTGAAAAATAAAATTAAAGGGTGCTCATATTTTTAAGTACACTGTACATGCATAACATGCATGAAGTAAATTAAGCACAAAATAACAAAATTAAACGTTTAAACAGAGAACACACACTGTAACACAATCTAGTTCATTTTTCTCTGCAACTTACAAAACAGGTTTTATGTTAGAAAAAAAAACCTTGCATATTAACAGAACGTTCACTTATCTATGTGCTGGAAAACATTGCTCACCATAACTATGGTAAGGTTGTCTGTATAGTTGTTATTGCAGCAAAACCACATGACAAATGTGTCTAGATGCAGCACATGTATTTTTAGACCGGATCCACACATTACAACTCATTTAAAACCCATTAACTGTTAACTAATACAGAAAACAGAAACCCTTGATGATAATGTAGGGCACTGTTCAAAGCTTTTCTGAGACAAAATTAAAATGCCCTTTAGCATCTTAGATATAAATTGTGTAATTCAGTAGTAGCACTATAAAAAAAACTCCAAATGAAAATGTTTTTCACTCTGCCCCAGCTGCCCAAACTAAACAGAAGCTATTTCT